TAAACACTGTGTATAAATTTAAAGTCAATCGAATATTTACTTTGACCTTTAGAGCGTCCACAAGATTTTTTTAAGTGATCAAGGGTCATAACTCTGGCAGTAATTATCGGAAATCGCTGAAAATCAATAAGCTTCTTCATCTCATGACCTTAAACACTGCGTATAAATTTTAAGTCAATCGGATATTAAACATAAATTATGCAAGAGCTAAATCTGCCTATTGCAGGTCTTTCTTTAGGCCTGAAATGTTATCTAAATTATTAATTAGACATTAATTAACTTATCCAGGTCATAATCAACTCTCGATGGCATCGGATTTCTCCGATGTTAAATAGATTAGAAGAGTTCAACTATATTTTGATTTAAGCTAAAAATGGAGGAGCTAGACTTAGCTTCGAACAACCAGTACGGTGGTTGAAATTATTGTACACGTCTTGTCAAACCTTCAAAGGCTAATATCTTCGCTCGCAATAGAGTAATATGAATGAAATTTACGAATTATTCATTTTAAATTATCTTTTTTCGAAGTATTATAGCACGAATGGCTAGCTCTTTATCTAAATCTTGCATAATGTATGTTTAACTTTAGCCTCGATCTAGAGCGCCCACAAGCAATTGTGGACGCCGGACCATGGATTGATATACTCATTTATCAGTTATTGTTGAGAGAAAGTGTGATCTATTCTGAACTCTGACCTACATCCTCTTTTAAAATGAAATGAAATGATACTGTTTCTTGACACCTGAAGCAAGCAAAGGACTGTTTAATTAGATATCGACTGAAACTTTATTATGAGTACACTTTTAATTCTATAGGTCGATTCAGATTATTCTTTGACAATACAAAAGAAAATCATTAATATATTACCGTACGGTACCTGGTAATTATAATGTGAACAAGAAGTGCTATCAGATATTCTAAAAAGAATAAATACACACATACATATGACTTGCTGTTCAGATCTCTAATTAGCCTGAATATAAAGGCCCAGCATAGAGTCGCATTATAGATGCTTTTATAGATCAGTATATGCTTTGCCATTGGAATTTGTTAAACCACAGAAACAGGCTATAATGTTTCTGGTTGAACTTTTGCATGGAACAGTGCCTAGTTGCTTGGGTGAAAAGAAAAATGAGTCCTGCACATAGAACTAAAAGAACCCTACAGACCTTTTCCCGGTAAGATCACAACCTCAATGTTGATTTGAATCGACAAATAATTCGTGTTTTCAACGAGTAAGACTTTGGTGGATGATATTGTGTGTTAGAGAGACTTAATTAGTTTAGCTACTTTAATCCCCATCTCTCACTCCGAGTCCGAGTCTCTCTCTCTAACTATTAAAGCCCAGTCTTTGGATGGGTTTTATCTTCTGTTAAAGTCTGCCCTTTTATAAAATAAAGTAAGATACCTCGTTTATTGGATTTTCTAAGTTATGGCGCCCTTTCCCGCCTTGTTGACCGTGAACCTTGTCCAAAAGAGCGAAGGAACGTAGTTCGAGAGATAGCGTAACCCTAGTAACTCACAATGTGATTCTTGAAGACGATTCCCGTTCATGAAATGAAATGAAATGATTGGGGTTTAATGACCTACTGTTCGGCTCCGACTGGGCTAATGAAGACGGGCATAAGCCATACAGTGTGCTATGAAGGAAAATATTGCCCGGGCAGTGGAAATATGGCCTAGGCCTACTCTTACATGGAATTACAACTGCCAAGGGATCTTTAACGTGCACGCCAACGTTAAAACGGGACCTCTTTTTTTCGTCGCATCCGAACGACTAGACAAGGGGAAACCATGTCGGAAAACCCCGATGAAATTCTTGGCCAATGCAGGGAACGAAGATTCCCGTTCATGGAGAAATGAAATAACATCATATAGACCCAATGCAACATGCAGTATGCTATTGGGGTGAGGGGCGGTCTTCGGCGGTACTGGGTACGGCGTACTCTTATTTCGATTCAAAACTGTGAAGGAGCCCTACGTGTACGCGGGACCTCCTTTCTGTCCCATCTGAACGACTATATAGCTTTTCCTTGAGTCACTCCGCTCTGTCCCCCACTGGCAAGGGTAAACTTTGCCTAAAAATCACGACGGATTCACACCGGGAGCAAACTCCAGACCACCCTCCAGCCTAATAATAAGCAGTACGGTATTTGTATTGCATATAATTTTTTATTATGACCTGTATATTCCAGTTCAATTACTGAATGCTATTGAAACAATTTATTAATTACTGCACTCCATAGTCTTTTGCGCTATAGACTAATCTACACCCAGGTTCAGCGCTACGGGTTCGATCCCCCGATAACATACAGTGGCGAGGATCGACGGGCGGTAGGCTATATTTTAGGCCAAAGTTTTTTGAAAGATTTAATTTGTTCTAACTTGGAAGATTGTTCGGGTCGTCATAAGAAGGCAGTCTATACAAATTCTGTCTTTTATTCCGATTTATCGGAGATTGAGAAAATAATAATTTATAAATAAGCTAATAGCAAATACTAACTATTACAGCCCTTGTTGGTTGTTAATAGTAGATAACAAAGGTTGCCCTTGTTAGTTGTTACTGTAGCGGCTAATAACTACCCCCAGAGGCGTAGAGGCACCCTTAGCGCTGCTACGAGCATCTAAAAACGACTAACAACTTTCTACTACTAGCAGGCTAATTATAGGCGGATCGGGTGCTTTATCGGTATGTCAACATAATGACATTTTCCCCCAATTGTAGACAATGAACCCCCCCCCCCCCCATATCGCGAAAACGCCCCCTCAAACGCCTGATCACCACCCAGATTCGGAATCTACGCAAAAAACTGATCTAGAAAAACTTGGACTCTTAAATTCACAGCTCAGGTGGCGATTTCCCCCCTTCAGCTACCGGACTAATTGAGATTGATATTAATGACAAAACTCTAATCAAATACGTAATACTTTTTCCTGAACTGATCAGTGATCAGGAACCATCTCACACCGGAAGTAGATATAGTTTGGTTGTTAACGCTAACAATAGTTTCGGACATGCGCAAGTGACCAGGAGTAAACACACACCGGGAGTCAATTCAAACTGTCACACCGGCACTGATTTCCACGGCCATGGCTTCCAGATTCGATTTCACAGTCGGATTAATATTTCCATAATATTCCCAATCAATTAATCTTTTTTAATTTTATTTATTTATCTAAATGAATTTAGGAAATGAAAGAAAAATCGGAAATTTATAACACGCGCTGCGGAAGCGTGTTTAGCTGTTCGAATACCCAAAGCTAATAATATATATATTAACAGTTACCACGAACCATATAGACATTTTTTCTGTGACCAGTAACTTATACTTGGCCAGGCAGGCTTATAGTAAATATTTTACACCGGTGCCCCGGTCGGTGTCTAATTGTTTGTCTTCTCGTTCTTGGGGTTGTGTCAGTTTACTCTTAAGTGCTATCCTTCCCTCAATTAGCGAACAGAGTCGAATGGATCTTGGCAGGAACCCTTTGTAACGAATACCAGTCCCTTTTGATGCTTGTTTTTCTTTACTCATTATATCGTTTAGTTTTTGATTTTTTGCGTTCTAGCTCCGAAAACGTAGCTAAAAACGATGAGTTATATATCGTTCAGACGCTTATTTTTAAACCAGTTCAAAATAGCCGGGCTTTTTAAGACTGGATCATGCGTTCACACGTACTGCCCAACCCCGATATTTTCCCAGGAATGTAACTTATTGCAAGCTGGAGCCGCGATTTTTGAGCCAACACGTTCAGACGGCCAAGATGCACTACAATAAAAAGCCTTCTCGAAGACAGGTCGCGAGCTGGGGTTTTTAAACGTTTTTTTTTTTTAACCACTTGAACTTAAGCATCTGAACGGGATAATATACTAATGTGCTTGTTTTTAGCTACGATTGGGTGCCTTTAGTTCCAAGTGACAAACTCAATTTCTTTATTAATGCATGTAACATCCAGGGCCGTAACTAGCTCAGAGCAACCAGGGAGCACGAGAAGTCTTCTCGGGAGTGCTGTAAAATTGACGGACAATGTATATCAATTTTTATGGTCGAAAATTTTTTCACGGGAGGGGGGGGGGGGGGCGAAAATATTTGCGTTTAAATTAATGAAGCGTTGTTTTTATCCGACATACACCGTCATACCGTGGGCACGTTTTTATGCAATAAATTTACTTATAATATTACATCTCCCGTTTAAAAATGGCGTTACTAATTAACGGCTTAATAACGCCCGATTTTAAATACGATGATTTCTACCCGTTTCAGGTAGGATTATATGCTTAGTTGTAGTTATGTGGCAGAAATGTTATAAATAACAATCAATCGTTGTTTTGATGAAAAATATTGTCAATTTTGATTACTGAGACCCGATGTGATATGCGTTGGGCTTTGCTACGTGGAACTATATAGCCTAACACCATCTCTTATCTCAAAACACGGAGGGTTGAAAGAGATGAGTTTTGTTATCTACAAGTACGTTCGAGTCCATGTCCTGGCAGGCCCGTAAAAAAAATTTCAACCATAAAAAAAATAGATATACATTGTCCGTCAATATTACAGCATCCCCGAGAACACTTCCCGCCCCCCTCGTTGCTCTGAGCTAGTTACGGACCTGTATACTGGACTTAATCATAATTTAAATCCCTCACCAAGTGTCAATGTATGGCTCAGCTATACGTCAAATCGATTCTGGCACGTACCACGTACAGAACCAAAAGTTTCCGATATTGTCACCGCAAAATAACAACACCAATATTGCTGGAAATGGACCAATATTGAATTTTAATTCGTGTTTTTAATTTCGAATTTTATGGAAAATATTGAGTTGGAGGTAACCCCTTTAAATGATTTAGTAGAATCAGTGAATAAATATACGCAAATGCAATAAATAGTGAGAACTACATCGTTAATTGTTACTGAACTTCCTATATACGGAAGTAATAATTTCTTAACATCTTATTACAATGTTGCAGGTCAATATTATTTTACCAAGTCGACATTGTCACGTGACCATTTATAAACATGGCGCAAGACAGCAAGGCACGCGTGTTAGTTTTAGGCGGTAAGTCCAAGTGATTTAGGTGCAAAGTTCTGGTGATTTATCTTTAAATATATTTTGTAGAGTCGATTATATTTTCGCTACATTCATTGAATATTAAGGTTTGATGACATGATGCTCGGTTGTGTCTTGACATATCATTCAATGGCCTACGAGTATATTACGAGTTATTTCGTAAATAATGACATCACTTTGAGTTGACTCATGACATTTTGCACTGTGCTCGGCTATGTCAAACACCCTAATTTAATTTGACAAGAAATCACTTATGAAATTGTTAATTCAGTATTCGCTAATTTAATTCGTGTCATATTCATGTTTAGTATATTGTAGGCTGCTGATTGATGACAACTTAAAGTAGCTAAGTCTCTTAACTCAATATCATCCAAAGTCTTACACATTGAAAATACGAATTATTTGTCAATTCAAATCAACATTGATGTTGTGATCTTACCAGGAAAAGGCAGGCTTCTGATATCCAATATTTAAGACAAAATAAACATTTTACCCTTGGTACACGAATCGTGTACCATAGTGCGTTTTAGCGTCATTTGCAACAAGTGACCAGAAAGAACGAGGCTAGATATATTCAACTGGAGAGCCTGCTCAATAGACTGGAATAAGCAGACGCTAAAAATTGCTATAGGGTTGAGACACATGCAGTATTTCGCTTTGATTTGAAATTAGAGTCAAAATGGGAACAACTGAATGTAAATCAGTTTATATACAATCAGATTACATTATTATATGCGTTGCGATCCATTTGGGTCAATTTCTAGGTCCCAATTGGGAGCCACAGTGGCTAGGTGGGTTAGGTGCTGGCTCGCTAGCCTAGAGGTCGGGTGTTCGATCCCTGCATTGGCCGAGACAGTTCATTCCGATTTTCCGACGTGGTTTCCCCTTGTCAGTTATACAAGATGGGGAGCATGACAAGGACAACTGTCTAGTCCGTGTAAACATTGGAATGCACGTAAAAGATCCCTTGGCAGTTGGAATTCGATATAAGAGTAGGCGATAGTGTCGCTGCCCGGGCAAAATTTCCCTCATAGCACACTTTATGGCGTATGCCCATCTTCGTTAGCCCAGTATAGGAGCAGAACAGTAGGACGTTAAACCCCATTTCATTTCATTTTCATTTCTAGGTCCCAAATATTAGCGATTTAGCTCCTTTAAAGCGGTAGGGCCTACAGTACTTCAATAGTTCATGAGGTGCGGAGAGGCAGTCGGCGTGAAGCCAAAATAGGACATGCCCTCGGGACAATTTTTATCCCCCCCCAAAATATATATATTATTTCCAAAATATTGGAAGCCCCAGTCCCAACAGCGTAGCAATCAATTTAGCTTTGATGAAACTGTAGGGTTATATTTTTAAAGAGTATTTACTATTACATTATGGAAGGGTATCGCTGCCAATATTAAATGCTCTGCTACAATGTCTTTTCTATTGATTATATGTAAAAAGTACAATGTACCAAAGTCCTAATACCGGTAATGATAAAGTCAAAATACCTCTAAGGCAAGAATTAAATGTAAAACTTCAAATGTTAAGTGTTAAATGACAAATGTTTTGTGGGAAAATGCTTTTTTTGACGTGTCTACATTTTACATTTCTCTCATTACATTTTACATTTGCTCTCTGCCACATCACATTTGTCCTTCACGCATTCTACATAGCATGTTTCGCACAGCATCAACTTGCATATGCAAATACTAGGATATCACGTGACTTATTAACATATACGGAAACCTGGCACACTATAAGCCAGAACAAGGATATTCACGACACTATATAACAGGAAATCAGCCTAGCACACAATAAAAATGTACTCACCTTGACACTTTGGATGGCACTTTATGATGATTACGGGGGTGGGTGTGGGGTTTGTGCAATGTCCAAATACGAAATTTCAGGTATCATGTTACATATTAGTGAAAAGCACATTCATTTCTGTTTGTAAATATGTAAATAGTTTTCTGGCACAATCGTATTTTCATAATTCAAATCCAATAAATATCACACTATTAAAGGGGTATTCAAGTAAAAATACTGGTCTAAATACGAAATTCCAGATACCATGTTACATATCACTGATTGTTCTTTTCAAATATGCAAATAATTTTCTGGCACATTCATATTTGCTTAACTTTACAAATTAAGAATAAAGTTGAAGTGAAGGAGGAGGGGTAGGACTAAAATAAAGATACAGGGCTTAATCAAAAATTCTCTATGTCCATACTATAAGATGTATAGTATATATAGTCATTCCTCTCTTTAAATATATTATTTATTTGTTGGACACAATACTTATATATTGGTTTTTTTTTTTAATGTATCAAAGTACTCAACTCTGTTTATAGAGAGACCGGAAAGAGTGGGTTTTTTTAAAATTGTACCAAATTATGGGTATTAATACGAAATTCCAGTTATTGTGTTATAATTTACTGGAAAGTATGTTTCTTTGGCTGTTTGAATCTATCAATTATTTCCTAGCACATTCATGACTACGCACGGTCGTCTAGATAGTTTCTTATGGTGTGCCAGCTTGATTTCTGTTGTCGTGTGGTGAATATCCTTATAGTGTGCTGGTTTATAGTGTGCCGGGTTTCCATATATGTTAATAAGTCACGTGATATCCTACATTTGCATACGAAAGTTGATGCTGTGCGAAAGTTGCTATGCATGTATGTAGAAAACGTGAAGGACAAATGGGATGTGGCACATGTAAAATGTAATGAGAGAAATGTAAAATGTAGACACGTCAAAACAAGCATTTTTCCACAAAACATTTGTCAATTAACACTTAACATTTGACGTTTTACATTTAACTCTTGCCTTAGAGGTATTTTGACTTTATCATTATCGGTATTAGGACTTTGTACATTGTACTTTTTATATATAATCAATGGAAACGACATTGTCGCAGAGCATTTAATATTGGCAGCGATACCCTTCCATATTACCTGGTATATCAAACTGAAATTTTTGTCTATCATACTTTACAGGAGGAAAAGATAAATATTATCAGTTCTTTTTGACTAGATATCGACATTTCTGAAATTACACTAATAGTTTGTAATTGTTGTGCAGCTAAAAAAAATTTGTTCAGACATTTTGCATATTGGTTTCCATATTATACTGTTCATCTTATAGAATTGTTGAAAAATTTGACTTTTACAAATTGATTAGTAATGTCTTGACCCACAAAGGCCCCAGGCATAGTTATCTACAGCAGTTACAGATAGGGCCTGGTATATGTTTGACTTTTAAATACACATTGTCAGACCATGGGCCACATATTGTCATGGTCAAACATATATTGAACAGCAGCAGGGAGATACTGTTTACCGGTATGTGCGGTTTTATGGTAGAGAGCGAGACATTAAGTAACATATTGATACTGCACCAGGATTTAAGTCCAAGGGTGTATCAATATTCCGCAATGTTTAGCTTGACAACATTAAGCAACTTAAAATACAGACACTATTCCACATATGCATTTCAATGAAGTCGTCACACAAGTCCAAAATTTCTTCTACTATGAAATGATATATATGGTTGGCATGTGGCTCCTACCATTATTTGAAATAATATGTCAACATCAAAGGTTGGGGCCACATCTGTATTTTAATGACTGAATTTGTGGGGAATATGCATGTAATACATATTGGTACTAAAATCATAGGTCTCTATATCATTGTTTATTTAGTCCTTGAAGAGCTTGAAGGACCCCTTTTTGATGATGCTTTCATGGGTTCAATATTGGTACCTGAACATACCATGAACTACCATATGTTAGTCCCAAAATGACATTTGTTGTAGGAGTATATAGAATCTTCTTGACATTTAAGTTTATATTAGATTTTCTATTTCCTCAATGACTTATTCATGTTCAACTAATAAAAGAATATTTCATGGCTATGTATGATGATAAATATATAAAAGTAAAAAGAATATAGGCCTACGCTCATATGTGAAAGACAAATAAAAGGTGTTTTCTTTCTGATTTCATAGCAAGATAAGATCTAAATCAAATATTGGATTTTAATCTAAAATGAATGTCAAATAGTGTCAATAACTTTTTTTTTTATATTAGATACATATATACAAATCTTCACTAGAAATGTGGAATATATACTGTATATACAACTATTCAGTATAGTTCTTTATTACCATTCAGTAACCAAATATGACTTAAATAACTAGTTGCCTTGGAAACACAAGTCATCTTTAGCCTAAAAAATTAATTGCCTGAATTGACTTTGTTAGTGAATAGATTGATTTACATCCCATTTCGACTACACCCCAATTTTACTACAAATTTTATTACCCCAAAAATCCTGACCCCCAACTTATCAGCATTGAACTGCTCCACTGATTAAGAGATGCATTGAATGTAATGATTATATACTCTTCAAAAAAGTAGGGGATATTCAGAAGCAATACAAAACTGCGGAAATGCACTGCTGTTTTTATTAGAGGTAACCAGTGTATGTTAATAACAGGCCAATTGCCTACACATGAACATAAACAGTTCATATGGGCGGCTTATCTGACGGCCCCATTTCACTCGCAAAGAGATACACTCTCAAAAGTGAAAATGGACGTTTTTGATTTTTGTCTTAATAATGAGTAATTGTTCCACCAATCCTCATACATTCAGCAATTCGTCGTGGCATGCTCCTAATCAACTGTCCAATCACGATTTGGGGCAATCTGACCCACTCTTCTTGCAGTGCCATGGCCAATTCTTGCAGTGTTGTTGGTTGACGTCGACGTCGACAAACACGTCTCCCGATCAAATTAAACGTAACACTCTAAAGCAAAGATACGGTAAACAGTAAATATTATACAAGAACCGATAGGAAAGCAAACATGGATAGGATAAACCAGCAAGCGGCAGTTTTCATCAACCCTTCCTTGAAGTGTCAAATTTGACAATGAACCCCTCCCACATGTATGGCGCTATTGCGTGTCGCAGGTGAAGCTCAGTGGTTCTGCTGGGGTGATAAGTTCTTCATCTGTGAACATACTCTCAAAGAATGTCAAGTGTCTATGACTATTTATCATATCACAACCTGCATAGGTATTTGCATTTCAATATCCCCTACTTTTTTTGAAGAGTATATTAGTAAATTATTTTTTGATTATTTTTTTTTTGTCTTCTATCTAAATGAATTATTTTTTAATCATTGTTTTGTTTTGTTTTCTATCTATGTATATAAATTACCTTTGTTATAAGAAATGGGGTGTTTTCATGGAAGAATCTATTTTAACTATATAGAGAGGGTATATAAGTAGGGATAATAAAACAACCAGTCTGTATAATCTGTAATCGAAATGGGATGTAGTCGAAATGGGAGTGTACGTTATGTGTTAGGTACCCAGCAATTATATGTAGTTTACTTGTATGTATATATTTATGTTAATGATACTGGGGTTTCAATAGCACATCAAATATGGAAAAATGTTTACAAAAAATGTGCTAGTTCACTGAATACATTTCACGGTTTTGAGTGATCATATTCCAATATCAAAATATTACTATTACAATTTTTGTGTCATAAAATGTAGTTCTGTAATAGATAATAAATTGAGGTTATATTTCTAAATGTCCTATTATCACATTATTCATGTGGGCTGTATAACTGATTACATGTATAATTTAGAGAAAAAAATCTCCAGATAATATTTAATGTATGATTCAATGATAGATTGAATTAAGCTTAGACAAATAGGAGATATTGAGCTATAAATAGGTCATGGTCACAGGTCATATAACCTCCAGCCAAATGTTGACAAAATAAATCTAATTTAAATCTTGTCAACATATATTTGGTCTAATCAATTAACTAACTAAACATGTTAAGTTTGTTCAAACAGCAGGATGACTGAGTGGTCTGAAGTTGTTTTAAAGAATTGCATGTCATCTATGCAAGTTGTGAGGTCATATATACATGAGTAAGGTTGCAACACTGTTCTGTCCTTACATGTACATAAAATTGTGTAATAATGTGTCTTGAAACTAGGCTAAAATATAGGCACATTTCCCATTCAGTTGATCTACATCATTCCACAAGACATTGATTCCATTTATAGATAAAATAGTGATTACATATACATATTTAATAGGCTTACATCTCTTTTGGCATAATACACTGCATTCATTATTATCATGTGGCGAAAATAGTTAGGGTGGAATATTGAAATCAGTTCTGTCTGTCCAGATTTTGTTTCTCATACTGAATTATTATTTTAATTGTTTTATTGAGGTATAATGTAGATAAGAAACTATATCAGACAAACATGAAATGGTGTTTAACTTCCTACTGTTCTGCACATGGGCTAATATGAAGATAGGCATACAGTGGGAGTGTACTATTAGCAAAATTTTGCCTGGACGGCTGCGCTACTGTGTTCTCTATTAGCGAATTCCAACTTTCAAGAGTTCTTTATGTGTATTCCAACGAGTAGCCTACACAGGACCTGGGTTTTTTGTTCCATCTGAAAGACTAGACACTATTATATTAGCTTTCATAGCTCTGGATTGTAATTTTTATTGTCTGCGATAACACCTCGGTGGAAGCGGACGTTAAATAAAGCTATTTCACACACAATTGTAATTTTTTATTTTACAGGTACTGGATTTGTAGGAAGGAATTTTGTACATTATTTATTAGAAAATGATCTTGTGTCCAAGGTAAAACATGTATTTTTTTTATGGTACATCATTAGTGTACAGATGGAAATTTATATGAGTGTGAATCAAACCAGGTCTGTCAGAACCGTAGGGGAGAGGGTCATCTAAAGTGAAAAAGTAGCCAATGTATTTCTCATACAATTTCATGAAAAATCAGTTTGAATTCAAACATAGTATGTTTTTATGTTGACAGGTGCGAGTTGTTGATAAAGTTCCACCACAGATGGCATGGTTGAACCAAGAACATAAAGTGAGTGTCCTTTTTTGGATCCAGGATTTCAGATTATTATCATTATAGAAGTTGCTGGGATTCTGGAGAAATTATTTTCAAACTTCAAAACATTAATTTGATGGCAATCTCTATACAGCCTGTAAGCAGCTATGTTTCTTGGCCAAGCATCTTATCTTTCTTAGCAACTTTAGCTTCAATCGAGAATCAATAACATTGTGCCCACAAAGAGTTTTCAAGATATGATTTTCAACCTTCCTGTTATATTCTAGTGTATCAATATTCCATTCTCACAATGTTTAAGGAGCTAAACTTCTTTGAATTAGGTGTGCCTGGTAAGGAACGACATCAAATCGTTCGGATGGAAGTCCTGTGTACACGTTTTCATGCACATAAAACAACCGTTGATAATTCCATTCCATTACTAGTAGGCAGAAATATCACAGTACGGTCAAAATTTCTCTCATGCCACATTACATGACATATGCCTGTGCTCATTAGCTGTTTGGTGGAGTCCTTTATGCATGGATCTGCTATGTTGATTATTATTAAATAATGAAGTTTTGTTATTGTAATTATAGGAGAGTTTTACCAGTTCTGCTTTAGAGTTTAAACATGCCAATCTTATTAATCCAGGTAAATTTACAAACTAGCTTATTATTGTCAAAATTATTGTATCCAATTCCAAATTGTAGTACATTTGCTTCGTAGGTTTTGTCCTGTAAATTAGAGTTTAAACTGTCATTTGATATGTCAGTCATTAAAGACATTCCATCAAAGATCTGATTTTTACTTCCTCAGTCCTGACTATGAAAAAGACAAACCAGTCAAATTAGTGCATTATCATAAGATACCTAGTAGTTCTATAGATAAGAGGTCAGTGTAATGTACATTATTAGGATTATTATCAAAGTTGATTTTATATTTCTATTAATGCCTTGTTTTTAGCCTCAACAGATGAAGCATTTTCTGATGATGGAAATAGTTTTGATTATGTTGTAAATTTAGCAGCAGAAACGAAATATGGACAGTCAGATCCAGTAAGTAATACAACAGTATACTAAATAACTGAAATATACCCAAATGTTTATAGTTGCCACACCTGAATCCCATTTACAGATAAGGTTAGTGCAACAAGGTGTTTTAGCAACTACACATACCAAAAGCATTATGTACATATAAACATGTCCGAACATAGTTTTTTTTTGTTAATTACAGGTATATAAAGAAGGGATTGTTAAATTGAGTCAAATGTGTATACAGACAGCCGCTAAACATAAAGTTAAAATGTATATAGAATTCTCTACAGGGCAAATGCACTCTACAGATAAAGTATGTAATTCAACTCTTTTATACTCCCTTTCATTATACGCCCAAATTGAAATGTGGTTGTATATTGTCGTCCGATGCTCTAGAGCTAAAGTTAATATCCGATTGACTTTAAATTTATACACAGTGTTTAAGGTCATGGGGCGAAAAAGTCTGTTGATATTCAACGATTTCCAATAATTACTGCCAGAGTTATGGCCCTTGATCACTTTGAAAAATCTTGTGGACTCTCTAGAGGCTAAAGTTAATATCCAATTGACTTTAAATTTATTCGCATTGTTTGAGGTCATGGGACGAAAAAGTCTATTGATATTCAACGATTTCCAATAATTACTGCCAGAGTTATGGCCCTTGATCACTTTGAAAAATCTTGTGGACGTTCTAGAGGCTAAAGTTATCATCTGATTGACTTTGGATTGATAAACAGAGTTTAAGGACTTGAGACGAACATCTAGATTGATTTTCAATGAATTTTGATAACTTGAACAGCTAAATCAATGATATTAAATGTTTCATAATACTGAACGTTAGCATAGGGCATTGTGGTAACATGGCTGCTTTCATCATTCTATCATTCTATCTTGGGTGAAGATTCTGGTACCATTGCGATACCTGAAAATAACAGTAGACCTATTAAACACACAAAACCTTATTTTAATCAAGTCGTGTGAGGAAGATATCAGGACACACGTATAGCTGTGGCAGCTTCTTTGATAATCAACAAGAAACTAAACTTGATTAACCCAATCAACAATCTTAATCTCCTAAGCACTAACACTAAGGTGCTAATTAATTGGTGAGATTAACAGAAGTTATTCCCATAAAAGTTTATAATGTACAAAACATATATTACTAATGTATGGACTATTTTGTTTTTGTTCTAAATTATAACACCGAGAGAAATATTAAATGAAAAAATAACATGTGGTGTGGTTGCAATGTGATTTGATTTAGAACATACCAACATCTTTAACTCACATTTTCTCAAAACTACCTTTTTTTGGGAAACTTCAAACGGATATATCAGTCAATTTTTGCCCGATTCATACCAACCATACATCATTTTGAATGTAATAAGGCCGAGAATTCAAATTTTCCCCATTACGACTCAGTTTTCCTCATGGGTCACAAATTAGTACCCTATATTGTTCTAAAGAATGATCCAGTTGTTTTCAAAGTTACCTTGATTAGACATTACACTATTTTGACAATTTTCATAGTGTTATCATTAATTGATTAAATCTGTATGCATTGATTTTTTAAAGACTGCACTTTACAAGTTTCTGGTTAATAGGTTGACATGTTGCCCAACAGAATGTACAACTAACCCCAGAATCAAACTTTGATAAATAACATTAAAATTTATATTTATTGTAGAAACCAGTTACAGAAGAAACAAAATGTGAACCTTGGACACATTTAGCAAAACATAAATTAGAAGTTGAAAAAGAATTTGAAAAATATCCGGAATTAAATCATATTATTATTCGTCCAGCTATAATTTATGGTATTGGAGATCGACAAAGTTTAAGTAAGTATATGATACTGAAATAGATTAAATTGTTTTTCTAATATTCAGGAATATAGATTTTGAAAGAATTATTTTTTACGATTCCATCCATGTTTAAATAAAATGCTGTCAGTATTTTTACCACAATATATTTTTAATGTTTTATTTGTATTTAATTACAAACCAACGTTCTGACCACAAAAATCACCAATTAATGTAATCCTTGTTTCCCAGTCTATGAAATAGTCACTTAGTCTAGTGATAGAAAGGGGATTTTCCTGGTGTATTTTCCAGTGTATGAGGTTTGTATGTTCAAGAATGTACAAAACTAGCCACCACTGTTGTATTAAGACAGGGAGCCATATGGTGGCTCAGTAAGTAAGACGTTGGCAGGCTAACCTGGAGATCCTGTGTTCAGTCATTGTATTGACTGAGGAAATTCATCCGGCTTGGTTCCTATTTGTCAGTGGTGCATGTAAAAGAATCCCTGACAGTTGGAATTTGATATAAGAGTAGGCTGTAGTGCTGCTGTCCAAGCAAATTTTCCCTCATAGTCACTGTATGGCGTTTGCCCGTCTTCATTAGCCCAGTTGGTGCAGAATACTAGGACGTTAAACCCCATTTAGACATACCCTTGCCATCCAATGGCTTCAGCTTTTCCCAAGGCTTATTTCATGATCTACCACATTATTTTACAGCTCCCAGATTGATGATTGGTGCTATTTATAAATATACAAAGGAGAAAATGAAGGTAAAACATTTTGCCTTAGCATGTTTTTTTTATAAACAGATAATGGATTACATTATGTCCTCATTACAAAAATTATTAAAAATTTAGGTGTAGAATATGACGAACATAAATAGTGATTTGTATATTACAGATGTTATGGACAAAAGATTTGAAGATGAATACAGTACATGTAATAGATGTTTGTAGAGCAATATGGTTTTTATTTACACATGGTAAATCAGGTGAAATTTACAATCTCTGTGATAAAGGTGATACAGGTAAATATTAGTCATACATTACTATATTAACTCTTTATATTGATCTATGTGCTGTATGTATATTATATTTATTGATCTATAATATTAGGCTAATAATATTTGTTTTTCATCCACTATCAGAAATAATTTTTATATAGATGTATTTACTATAAATGTGTACATATTTATTGATCTATAATATGGATTATATTAATAATGTTTGCTTTATATTCACTATCAGAAAATATTTTTTGGGAGTTATTTTTAGAAAATTTTAAACTTCAGAAGCTTATTTTCTTTAACAGAGGTTGGATCGGGTTGGATGCCCAAATGGTCTGACACATACACTTTAGTTCCTAATGTCTGTCATTGAGTCGAGTGATATGATTTCAATCCCACAATTGTATGTGATAAAGAGTAGGCTTGACAACTATACCTCTTCGGTTTTTTCCAGTTTTCTCCAGGTTGTCTGGTTTTCTCTCGTGTTTGTCCCAAATTGACCTGGTTAGATTTGAGTGGATATTAAATCCAATTTCTCTCTCTCTCTCTCTTTTGTTATTTTGACTGCACTTTACAAGTTTCTAGTCAAATGATCTCACAGCATTATCTTTTTATTATTTTCTAGATCAAGGAAAAATAAGCGAATTAGTATCTGAAATTTTCTCAATCAATTTTGATTTTGTTGGTTCAATAATGTCTAATATGGCAAAGGTAAGGTTGTCGATTATAGAATAAAACTACCATAATTTATTTTATCAAGACATTCTTTGTTTATATAGACATTTATTTATTGTTACTGTGCTTTTTGGCCAACCTGAAGATAGAACATATTTAAGATCAACAGCAACTATCCACATAAAATCAAAATTTGGGTACCATTGTAATAAATGAAATTTAGGGGGTGGGGGGGGGGGCATCCTACTGAAAAAACAAGGCTAATTAAGACAGGTAAATGCCATACAGTGTTCTTTTACATGCACGCAAATGTGTACTGGGGACCTTGATTTTTTGGCCCATTTAAATGACTAGACAACATTCTCTACCAGTCCCCCTGTCCTGCATCACTTTCAAGGGGAAACCACTCTAGAAAATTTTGACGTACTTTCTCAGCCCACACCTCGATTTTTTGACCCATTTAAACGACTAGACAATGTTCTTTGCTAGTCCCGCTGTCCTTCATCACTCCCAAGGGGAAACCACTCTAGAAAATTATGAGGTACTTTATCAGCCAACACCAGGATTGAACAAGGGACCTCTTTGTTGTACGTGACAAGGAGTAGGGTCGCCTGTCCAACCTCATAGTCATGGGTTTTCCCGGTTTCCTCCCACTGCTAAAGACCCCTACGCACAATCAAATTATTGAAATAATATTGAACCATATGCTTGTCCCGAAATGACCTAGTTTGTGTTGAGTGAAGGATAAACACCATTTCTCTCTCTCAATGTCATTTTCACACCTTATAGTGCTATAAATGTTTGAATTAATTTTAATTGCAGATCAATATGTCTGGTATGGTAGAAGATATTAATGATGAACATTTGGCACCATGGGCTGATGCATGTCAACGTGATGATATATCTAATACCCCATTAAATCCTTGTATAGATCAGGTAAGAAATACTTATATTTTAAGCGCTTTAGATTATAACATCTTTTATTGAGTCAAGTGGTGTGGTTTCAATCCCATTCTTGTATGTGACCAGGCATAAGATCGTGTGCCTTACCTTGTGGGTTTTCATTGGGTCGTCCGTTGTCCTCTCACTATTAAAAATAAAGATAGGTTGCCAGGCAACGAAACATACGCCCACAGAAGCTAAATCGCCTGAGCAGTCGACAAGGGTTGATGCATATTTATTCTTTTGTAGGTAATTGGGGGCATTTAAAAGACAATTTCAGACAGATCAGATTATAATTTTTGTCGTTTGAGGGTTCACAAGGTTCTATAAACTGAAACGAGGGCCTTATCTCTGGAAGTAATTTACAGAAAATTTTGAAATTTGACAGGCTTTTTCGTTTTACTAATTTAAATTTACTAATAAATACAGATTGGATGATAACTTTTGTCATTCGAACGTTCACAAAGTAAAACACTGGCCAAAACTCTTGAAATAATTGACGGAAATTGCTGAAATTCAATAGACCTCCGTTCACAAATTTAAATGATGTAAATTCCTACATATCGGATGTTAACTTTCATCAATTGAGCATTAACAAGGTTGAACAAAGTGAAACTAGGGTCATAACTCTAGAAGTAATTATTGTATATTGCTGAAATTCAATAGGCTTTGTGGTTTCACTAATCTAAATGATGCATATAAATTTCATACAGATCAGATGATAACTTTTGGTGTTAGAGTGTTCACAAGGTTCAACAAAGTGAAACAAGGGTCATAACTCTAGACATAATAAACGTAAATTTCTAAAATTCAATAGGATTCTTATTTGTACTAATTTAAATGACGCATATAAATTTCATACATATCGGCAGATAACTTTTGATGTTAGAGCGTTCACAAGGTTCAATAAAGTGAAACAAGGGCCATAACTCTAGACATAATAAACGGAAATTGCTGAAATTCAATAGGATTCTTTTTTTTACTAATTTAAATGACGCATATAAATTTCATAGAGCGTTCACAAGGTCCAACAAAGTGAAACATGGGCCATAACTCTAGACATAATAAACGGAAATTATTGAAATTAAATAAGCTTCTTGATCGGATCATAACTTTTGGCGTTAGAGCATTCACAAGAAATTGTGGAAAACGGACCGACAGACGGACGGATGGGGGCGATGGCAATATACGTCCACATTTCCATGTGGGCGTATAAAAACCACCTAAGCATGCAAGAGAATTATTGAAATAAAATTGCATATGTTAGTCCCGAAATTAACTATTCTGTGTTGAGTGGACGTTAAACCCCATTTCTCCTTATATTTTAAATATGGTTGGGGTTGTGGTGGATTGGTTTATAGCACTGCATTGAAAGTCTTCGGTCTGTTGCCATGCCATCTCTCTCTATTACCAATTTTAAGACCAACCGTTTTAATCAAGGTTATAAGTCTGACAACAAAAGAGTGCTTGCATATAACATTTTGTTACCACAGTATTCAGAAACATAAATGAATTCATGTATTCAGATATATGAAGGAACATAAACATTTCTAATTTATTGCAGGAATTACTGTACAATAAACACTTATATTTGGATGGATCCAAAATAGAAAATATTGGTTTTACGTATCAATATCCTGAATTAAAAATTGAATATCTTAAAGAGGTGAGTAATATATACCAGGATTGCCAATTCATATCAGTATGAATTATATAAATGAAAGGATGATTTGCTTTATCTAAATTATATATATATATATATACTATTCAAAAAAAGTAGGGGATATTTGATTTTTAAGTGTTATTTAAGTCACCTAATGAAACTGACGAAGAAACAAATGACAAAATGAAATGAAGTTCACATTCATCGATTTATTCCAAATGATCGTTAGACTAAGTAAGGCACAGACTGACCATTATAAGGGTAAAATGATACCCGGGGTCAAACAGCAAAGTTACCACAGCATCACAACCAAGTCAGTAACGGGTAAATCCTCCTCTGTTTGCCAAACAAGCATTGATCCGACGTGGCATACTCCTAGTGAGACGTCTAAGGTCATTTTGGTCCAGATTGTCCCATTCCTGTTGCAACGCAGCAGCAAGTTCTTGGACATTGGCAGGACGTTGTTGACGTTGACGTAACCTCTGTCCAAGCATGTCCCAGACATGCTCGATGGGGGAGAGGTCGGGACTCAGTGCTGGCCAAGGTAATGTGGTGATGTTCTGTTGTTGGAGGTAACCTGTAACGATCCTGGCCCTGTGACATCTTGCGTTGTCATCCTGGAAGATGAAACGGCGGCCATGACGTCGTGCGAACGGCACAACATGGACTGCCAAGATGTTGTCCCGGTAGTACTGGCCTGTAACACGCCCTGCAACAACATGTAAAGCCGTTCTTCCAGCAACAGTGATGCCTCCCCACACCATAACAGAACCACCCCCAAATCGATCATGTCTGATGACGTTAACGTCTTGGAAGCGCTCGTTTCGACGACGCCACACCCTACTACGTCTGTCCAAAAAATCAACAGTGAACCTGGACTCATCTGAAAACATCACATTGCTCCAGCGTCGATTATCCCAGTGTTGACGATCCCTACACCAACGACGTCTTGCCTGAATGTGATGATCTCTCAAACAAGGGATCACGCGAGGACGTCGGGCGCGAAGGTGACCCCTATGCAGTCGATTCCGAATCGTCTGGCCACTCACTCTCACACCAGTGTCTGTTTGAAGACGAGCGCTGATCTGATTTGCTGTGATGACACGATTTCTCAAGGCCAAGGTACGGATAAATCGATCCTGGGCTTGAGTTGTCGCCCTTGGTCGACCTGAGCATGGTCTGTCCTGTACAGATTGTGTATCACGGTATCTGGACCATAGCCTGCTTATGACAGACTGAGAAACATTCATCGTCCGCGCCACAACCACCTGTGTTGTGCCGATCTGTAGCATGCCAAGGGCACGTAACCTTTCATTTTGGGTAAGCCGACGCATATCAAAATTTGTTTTCTGGTCACTAAAACAATTAAACTGATGTTTCCACCCTGGAATTCAATGCCACAATGACTGTAACATTCAAAGTCAGAGTCGTGCAAATCTTGGGTTGGACCCCCATGATGATCCCAAGCATCACCTGCATTCCATGCGGTAGCTATTGGTGCGTTTGGACGTCACATGTAACTGGAAATGTTTCTTCTGTTAGGTTCTATAATGACTTTTTTCGTAGTCATTTGCATATTTTAGTATTATGCCCCCAAAATCAAATATCCCCTACTTTTTTTGAATAGTATATATATATAGGGGTGTTGAATTTGAACTACATTTCTGTATTTAATCACTAGCTGGAATGAATTTAGCTCAGAACATTCAGAACATTTGCAGATACAATTGTGTGTTGCAGCCTTTTGAAGATTGATTTACGTCAAATCACATCGTAATGATATTGAAATTCATCAAAATAATCAGTCTGAGTAGTACACATTGTACTTAATAAAATAATTAATGATGATTTATTTTTTAGGTTTTACAAGACTATCTGGACCTTGGTTTATTTCCGCGTTCTTTGATGTCTGGTGAAACATTTTTTCTCAGACCTAATAATGAAGAAGATGAATCGTGAATAGCTTGCAAGCCCAATGGGATTTTTTGTTTTATATAAATTTGCTCTTTTGGAGATGGGATTTTTTATTTAATTCAAGCATAATAATGACGCGAAGCAATCAACTTGCATAAATGCATAAAATGCACCAAAGAAAGAAATATTAATGTCCCAGTTTTTATAATTTATTTCAAATAAAATTTGGATTTACTTTAAGACTTGATTTGATTACAGTATGTATGTGAAACTTCAAGGTACAACTTGATTCGATTACAGTATGTATGTGTATCTTCAAGGTATCCCTGTGGATACTGAAACCAATATGCCCAAGGCCTAATTATATACTTCTCAACAGTACGACAGAACGTTGATCTCTTCATCAAATATTATTTGAAATTATAGGGGAGAATAGCAATAATATTTATAATTGTATAAATGTCAGTTTCTTTATTAACCCTACTGTGTTTATCAGGTTATAATAATGGAATATTATAATAAGATGAAAGATTGTTATTACTACATGTAAATATGTAATGATAAAAAAACTAACATATACGTGCTATCCATTTACAAGAGTTAAACAAAAGTGCATATTTACTGTTTTGTTTTCTACAGGTTTATTTCTATTTTAAAGGCATTGTTTTAATGTTTTCATTCCAATATTTATATTTATTTGGTACAATGTACTTGGCATATCATGAGTCACAAATTTATGGTATTCTATGTCTCATAGAGTTTTATTTGTTTTCACTTTATTATCATGTTATTACTTATTTACAGTTAATGTGTAATTACATATTCTCACAAACATAATTATATATTCTTAAGCTTTCAAGGTGACCTTGTTTGTTAAGATTTTGACTTTCCTTTAGCATTCAACTATTTTTATCAATTTTAGTGGGTTGATTGATATTATTTACATATTTCAAACAATATAGGAAAAGTTCAGGATTTACCATAAATCCCACTATACTAAAAATGAACAGAAGGGACACTAATAGTCAAAGTGTCTGCATTTCTTATATTTAAAATGTATATTACATGGGATATAATATTTACTGGTAAAATAAAAAGTTTTATAATCTACCAAATTTACTTTTATTTATATGCAGACTGATCAATCTATGTCTTGGTTTTGTGTAATTTAGATATATGAAGAAAACTACACCAAATGCAAAATGTTTATATAATATTAATAATGTCAGTTTAATGATTAATACATTATAGCACAACAGGCACTATCTTTGGGTACATTCTGCTGAATTGTTTGTTTTAGTTTTATTTCTTAAAGGGAAGGGGAGGTTGTAAATATTATAATGAAATTGTCTTCCAGTGTCTGTGTTCACTACAGGGCTATTATTCCATGCAGTATATAGGGCATACAGTTCCATTCCATATTTTACCAATTGCTTAATATCTTAATACAATTCGTAATTTCTTATTTGGAAATTGCTGTTTCTATAGTATACATGTCACAAAACCTAAAGAAGATGATCTAGGTATAATGATATGAATCACATCACTTTGGTGTGCACCTCAGTGTACTATTGAAAACAGAAGAACCCCAAATATTCACACAAGTAATATGGTCAAAACCACATTCCATTGTTATTCCTATGAATTATGTAAATCATATCCAAAATAAGCACTTTTTCATTGCTATCATGATTTGTTATATAAATTATATCTAAAGAGAATTGTTGTTTGCTGACAATAACGTCTGAAATGGGGTGAGAAAAGAAACATAAGATTAGAATCCGATTGATTTATTTTATGTTGATATAAGAAATATTCCAAGTGTGCATGTGAATTGTTACGGAATGACTTGTCTTTATACTGCTGATTTATTTACCGAATTACTCATATAACAAAAGCTCAAATAGTTCAATATTTTTACATATATTCTTTTATTTCCTTTGTTAAAATTATAATTACATTATACGAAATAAAAATATAGAGATTTCTTTAATATTTTTTTAAATGATCGAGACCATAGCAATTGTAAAATTGTAAGGTTTGTTTTCTCCTGCTTTGGTATCCCTTGTGTTTCAACACGTGATGCTGCCTTTGAAACTGTAATACGGTGGTAATACAGTGAATTGTTGAATAAAATAGGGGGATCATATTAAAGCAATTTACTTAAATTCAGCAATTGACAATTATATAAAAATATCTGAAAGTTATGTTTGTAACAGAAGTTTACAAGTCCATTTTCTTTTTATCCATTTTTTTTTAATAAATAAATAAATATAGTACAATGTAAAATTGGATTTCATCCATTCTCATCGCATAAAAAGTAAATTTCACGAATCTGGTCGTGTAAACCCCATAATTTCATCTAAAACTTTGGCAAATTTTTCAGGTTTTCCTGGTTCATAAGGTTTTAAAGCATCAAAATTTACATCTCGTAAAGTTTCCACCAATTGACTGAAGCAAAAAAAAAACAAAGGGGTTACTAAATAATCTTTTGAAAATCTTGCTTGAAAACGTTGAGAGAATACTCTTCGAAACGTCGCCCAAATAAATCAGTAATTGTTCTTCCATAAGTATGTGTTATAGGTTACTAAATACATGTACCGGTATATGACCAGCAGCATATCCAGAGATGATTAGGATACTGCACAGATTAAATACAACATAAGCAATTATACATGTCATCCTCCCTCTTTTCAGATTCAATGCTTCTGCTGAACTTCAGAGCCATAGCGTTCAAATGAATTATGTTTATTTTCCTTTTCTTAAAATACAGATGTGATGTCATCCTTTGATGTTGGGGGGGATCACGTGGCTAAGTGGGCAAGACGCTGGCTCGCTAGCCTGGAGGTCGGGTGTTCGATCCCTGCATTGGCCGAGAAAGTCCATCCAGATTTTCCGGCGTGGTTTCCCCTTGTCAGTGATGCCCAGGTTAGGAGCAGTACAGTAGGACGTTAAACCCCATTTCATTTCATTTCCTTTGATGTTGGCGTACTATTAATTCCAATAATGTACGGGCAACTTGCCGATCGTACATTATCTATACTAGATGAAATATTGGACTCGCGTAAATTGCAGGATAGTGTCTGTATTTTAAGTTGTTTAATGGTCTCGAGCTAAAGACATTGCATAATATATTGAAACGCTCTCGACCATTAAACCATATATAGTTACCGTTATACCAATATTGGTATCTATTTAAAAAATAACAAGTTTTATAATTATCAGCAAATATAGTGGTTTGTATTCAAAGTAAATAAAGGAGAAATACAACTGAATCTAAGTAAGCAATTTTCGAAATCAACTTTATTAAATGTCTGTTTTTTTTTAGAGTACCAGCAAGTTGTTTTTAAATTGCTAAATTGTCTGAGTTGTCGACAAGGGTTGTCACATATTCATTCTTATGTAGGTAATTGGGGGCATTTGAGATTATAATTTTCATCATTTAAAGGGTCACAAGGTTCTACATAACTGAAACAAGGGTATTAACTCTGGAAGTAATGTTCAGAAATTGTTGAAATTTGATAGGCTTTTTCGTTTTACTACTCGAAATAATGCGTATAAATTTCATACAGATCGGATGAGAACTTTTGTTATTTGAATGTTCAACAAAGTAAAACAAGGGCAATAACTCTAGAATTAATTGACGAAAATTGCTGAGGTTATGATATAATGAATCTATACTCTGAGTTTAATCAGTTTCATGGCTCTCACTTAATTATAACCAAAGTTATAGTACCCCAAAGCATCAACCAATCAGATTGCTTATCTCTGCTTACCATAAGCAGATAATGTTCAGCATCGAACTCCATCAAGTTATTCACCTAAGGAACGCCTACACCAAGTTTGAACACCTCAATTAGAAGGAGAGTTATTGTGTTCCAAAGTCCCGACCAATCAAATTGCTTGTCGCTCTGCTTACCTTCAGCAGAAAATGTTCATTATCGAACTATACAGCAATATACGACCCCACTTCCATGTGGGCTTATAAAAAGGAGACAAAACCTTTTACCAGATGGGGAATAAATAATCTTTACTGTAACCTTCAGATATTTGATTTACAACATATAGGTTAATTAATCCACAATTAATAATCTCAATGTAGGCCTACATGTTACAAGAGTAGAATATTTTATACACTACCTTGGTTTACAATAATATAGAAACCCTTCATTACTGAAACGCTGTGCTACTTCTATTTGATGATTATCCATAAGATTTTCATTTATAGCAACAAGTAATGGCTTTCCTGCTCCTAAAACATCCAGGATACTACCAGCCCCTATGATGATGATATACAGGTAGTAATAAATAAGAAGAGTGAATTATGAAAATAAAGCTTATAACTATTTCTCAGTAGCATAGCTTGTTACAAGATGTATTCAGATGAATTGGTCAGCTGTAAAATCATACATTTACATAATATTCTGACTCCATATTAAAGGTACATGAATGTTACTTCTGATATCCAAAGAACTCCTTATATATAATCAATGATTGGATAATATACTTAAAATATAAACTATATTTTTGCTCAATCCAAAAATATACAAGTTGTTCACATATCTAATAATAATGTCATTGTGAGAAATAAAAGATATTTGAATCATATGCCTCTTATGCATTGTGGCATTTGATTTTATTCCAGTCCACAAGAAATAAAACAAGCCAACAGTGAGGCTGACGTCCCCGCCGAAATCCCAAAATAAATAGATGACACATATTAATTAATTGCACATTTATCTTTTTCAAAAGTATCAAGCAATCAAACTGATTATCAACTATACACTATTTGTGTTATATGCTTGATAATGACTTGTGAAATCTAGTTGAAGCGTCGCAGTGAAATAAACCATAGCAATTGTTATCCATAAATAGTGTGTTATTCAACTATACACTAAGTTTCGTCACTCTCCATCAGTTAGAATCAAAGTTATGTTGTTCCAAAGCATCAACTAATGAAATTGCTTAGCTCTACTTAGCCTTAACGGGAATTGTTAATGATTGACTTCATTGAACTCAGTCAAGACATTCATCTAATGAACGTCTACACCAAGTTTGAGCATTCTAACTCAATTAGAAGGAGAGTTATTGTGTTCCAAAGTCTCGACCAATCACATTGTTTATCACTTTGCTTACCCTGAGCAATGTTCATTATCGAACTTAGTCAAGGTATTGATGTCATGAACCTAGACACCATGTGTCATCACTCTCACTTAATTAATACTAAAGTTATCGTGTTCCAAAGCATTAACCAATCAAATTGCTTATCTCTGCTTACTCTAAGCAGACAATGCTCATCTTCGAACTTCATCAAGGCATTGACCTAATAAACACCTACACCAAGTTTGAACATTCTAGCTCTATTAGAAGGAGAGTTATTGTGTCCCAAAAAGTGTGACGAACAGACAGACAGATAGACAGACAGACAAACCCATTCTAATAGTCCTCTGTTTTCTTCAAAAGGCGGGGGCCAATTGATATTTCAAAATATTGCATTATACATGTTTACTTTTATTATAGAATCATACCAGCATGACTAATTACTAAAGATGCATTAGATATATCTTCCTCTATCGAATTCTTAAATCTATAAAACTTAATGTTGAGATTATGTTCATCAACTCTTACAGGGTCATTTCCATTCCCAATCTGTAAAACTAAATCTGTATATCCTAATCTGTTTAGTTCCTGTAATGAAAAATGACATCTAAGAATATGAAAATGAAAACCTGGCACACATACTGGTACTAAGTTTGTAACCATGTAGAACTTATCATACTGGTACCATAGCTGTTCAACCTGATTCAAAAATTCTAAATGGAAATACTGTAAACTGAATATATTCTGTTTCAATTCTACAGACTGTTTCACAATATGTTAACGCATGCTGCTAATCATAAAAATTAACATATCAGTGTGTTAGAAATATTGTAAGGAAAATAAGATGGCCCAAGCCAGGATGAAAGGTATAAGAGGGAAATTACTACATGAAGTGGCGAGAAGAAATGAAATGAAACGTGTTTAACGTCCTACAGGCTAAGGACAATTTCACCAGACTGCCATTTTAGGCTACTCTTTGTCAAGAATTCTTTAACATACACGCCAGCGTGTAGGTAACACATCTCATCTCTCAACCCTCCGTGTAGTATATCTCTACGTTTTTAGCTACGTTCTCGTAGCTAGCCAGCATGTACAAAGACTAGACACTGTTTTTATTCTTTGAATGACATTAATTTAGTAATAAAATAAAACATTATTTATGGATAACAATTACCTAGTTTATTACAAATCAAGAATACATATGTATATATATATATCAACACAAATTTTATTTTATGTATTTGTGTGATATGCTTGATAATTACTTGGGAAATCTTGGTGAAACATTGCAGTGTAATAAACTATAGTAATTGTTATCCATAAACAGTGTTTATACGATCATTTTTTTAAGCCATTGTTACCATCACTATCAGTAATCACCATATATATATATATATATGGCGTAGACCTAGGGTAGTAGTAGTAATAAATATTGATTCTAATCTAATTGACAGTGGCTATGTGAAAGCTAGTTCCTTTAGGAACGGTCTCTGCTATTCTTATTACCTCTGTAACAAAAGTAGAACATATTGTTTGTATCAAATCGTCAAACTGTGTTGTTCCAACAGTCACGAATACTGTTTTGACCAGTTTCTTCTCCATTCGTAAACATAAACAAATACCACGTGGAAGGTCTAAATTGTTTTTTCTACATTAGAGAGTGACATATTAATATGGTTATCTCCCTTTAATTGGAAAGCTGGCTAACCATTTCCGTTTTAAAAATGACCAATCGAAAGCTGGGTATTTAAACTCATTTTTGAAACAAGCATGTTCATTGGATAAAACTTTATTGTCTGCCATTTTCGAAATTGACAAGTTCTGTTCCTAAATGTTGAAACTTATTTTAGTAAAGCAATAAACCCGGTTACACATTCATTAAAATGGCTTCAAAGGGTCGGTGCGAGAAAGATCAAAAGATTCAAGTTTCATTGCGATGTCGGTAAGTTGAATTTGAATTCGTCCAACCATACCAATATTAGATCAAATAGGCTAGCCTAGATCTAAATATACTGAGTAACTCACTCAGTCACTGCCCTAACCAGAAACATTCAATATCAATGATTCATGATATGATGATGCCAACCAAATATTCTATAGCCTAATATTAATAAACCCGGTATTTTAAATAGATGGGTAAAGTTTAACTGCTAGTCTATATCCGAGCATCTAATTTCTGTTTTTTGCTCTTCTTATTAAAGAGTCAAATAGTATAATCAATATTGAAAAAATAAAAATGATATTGAAAATTTCAGTCAAATTACTTTTTTCTGTAACTTATGAATGTTTGACTAGAAATACTAGTAGTCATATTGTCTCGATTGTCAAGAACCATTAGGCCTATTGGGCACGATATCGGTAACAAAGTCTCGGCAGTTCTTCAAGACAATTGTCAGTCAGTGTTTGAGTATTTTCTAAATTCAAGACACTTAAACACTGTCTTCTGAAATGATAACATACCTATCCGATGTTCTAGAGAGTTAGAATTAGATAGCAATGGGTTTGTCATGAATAAGCTTAATTAAAGGAGCTAAATGGCTCATATTTGGGACCTAGGCTAGAAATTGACACAAATGGGTCGCAACACATAAATTAATAATGTAAACTGATTTGCATTCAATTGTTTCCATTTTTACTCTTGATTTTTAAAATAGTATAAATGACGAAATGTTGGGCGAAATACGCCTGAAACCTCAATCGAATGGCCATCTCTAGATAAGAATAGGCCTATGGCATGACTGTTTGATGGAATGACTGTTTGATGGAACATGTCTAGCCTCGTTCTTTGAGTCCCTTGTTTGTTACAAATGGCGCTGAAACGCATTATGGTACACGATTTGTGTACCATTACCAATGGTAAAACATTTATTTTGCCTAAAATCTGGATCAGAAGTCCATCTTTTCCCGGTAAGGTCACAACATCCAATGTTGATTTACTTTACATGTAAATTGACAAATAATCTGTGTTTCGAAGACTTTGGATGATATTGAGTTAGAGGCTTAGCTACTTTAAGTATAAATAGTAATTATATTTTGAAGCTAGAAAAAAAGCAATAGTCAGATTTCGATCTAAGTAGTCTAAGATATAATGGAGTAGAAATAGACAAGACTCAAGAGTCATTAAGCGATCACTGTATCACATAGTCACTATATTAATTGAGGAAGCAGTTAAATCTTCAATTTGTCTCCTCATATTTTTGTATCTCCTTTGGTGTATTATAATTATCACTCATCTCACAAGGATACATTTGTTCATTTATAAGTCTTTACACTTTGGCCCATTTCGACTTTTAAAAATAAGTCCTTGATCATGACTGGTAAGTAAATCAATATATTTTTTCTTACAACAGTTTTTTTTTCATTTTTTTTTTCAGACCTTTAAACAGTATTGAAAGAAAGCAAGCATCATATTCTATTGTTGATTGTAATAAAGACAAGAAAGAAATTACTGTCAAGGAGAAACTGGGTATTAATCCACATACAAAAACATTCAATTTTGATCATGTTTTCCCACCAGCTAGTAAACAAATTGATGTTTATAATAGTATTGTTACACCAGTTGTTGATGAAGTATTACAAGGTTATAATTGTACCATCTTTGCGTAAGTTGACAATATTAGTAGTATCAAAATCTGTGAAATAGACTGTTAAAGATTATAATCTGTAATCAACATAATACAAATGATTTATTACAATAATCACATACATGTGGTGATTGACCCGTAGCATGCTTATTGTTTCGATAACACCTGATACACCTCATTTTAAAATTGATTCACTAAATGTCATGACTCGTATTGTTGTTACTATGCTGTCATCAGTTAAATCAGAACTGGATGATTTCATTTAAACTTTTGTTGATTTTTTTTATGATAATCTCAACCAGAACCAGTAGCTTATTTTATATTTGCACTTATATTTACAAACTTTTATACAAAAAATGGCAACCTGTGCAGGCGAAAAGTTATTTTCCCTTTTCGTTCGTTGAATTGTTTTCAGATTAATGGTTTGAACTATTTTGTAGATATGGACAGACTGGTACTGGTAAAACATTTACTATGGAAGGTGAGAGAAGTAATGATCCATCTATATCATGGGAAGATGATCCATTAGCTGGTATTGTACCTAGAGCTATGTATCATATATTTGAAAAACTTCAGACACAGGTTAGTAGCCTATTTAAATGCTTTAAGGACAGATGTTATCATCCAATCTGTATGAAATTTATATGCAATGCATTATACTGTATAAATTAGTAAAACAAAATTTCAACAATTTCACTAAGTTACTTACAGAGTTAAAGCCCTTGTTTCAGTTTGTAGAACCATATGAACCCTAAAACAACGGAAATTATAATCTTATTTGAACGAAATTGTCTTGTAAATGCCCTCCACCATTACCTACAAAAGAATAAATATGCTGTGTGCATATGTTTGATCTTTGTTTTTCAGGAAGTAGAATTTTCAGTGCGTGTATCATACTTAGAGTTGTATAATGAAGAGCTTTTTGATCTACTTGGTTCAACAGAAGATTCTTTAAAATTAAGAATCTATGATGATGCTACAAAAAAGGTATGAATTAATGAGCTTAGTCGAGTGTGAATATTTAATTCTTTAATCTGTAAATGATATACTCAAAATCATAAACTAGACAAATGGTATTTAACAGTACTATCTACCAGTACCAAATTACAGCTGTAAATACAATATTATACATTTCTAGGGTTCAGTAATTATTCAAGGTTTAGAAGATGTTGTTGTGAGAAATAAAAATGAAGTTTATCAGATACTAGAACGTGGTGCTTCGAGAAGACAAACAGCTGCTACATTAATGAATGCTACATCCAGGTACTGTATACATGTATATAAAACAGTTACCATACAGGGACTATTATTCCAACCCACTTATTCCGATGTGGTTTGTCCTTGTCAGTGGTTCCAGACGGAGTGCCTGACAAGGACAGCTGTCTAGCTGTTCGGATGGGATGAAAAACTGAGGTCCCGTGCACACATTGGCATGCATGTAAAAGATCCCCTGGCAGTTTGAATTTGATATAAGAGGCAAAATTTCCCTCATAGCACACTTTATAGTGTATGCTTGTCTTCATTAGCCCAGTCGGAGCAGAACAGTAGGACGTTAAACCCCATTTCATTTCATTTCCAACCCATTTTTCAATTTTCAAGGATAAGACCGACAGAACAAAGCTGACATAATGCCTGTGAAAGATTCCTGAACAGTATTAAAATCTGATTGATATTCTCTCCCATATTGTTCATGTGATTAATTATTTTAGTACCAAAATGACTGATACATTAAGATTTGAGTCCTTGATCATATCAATTTATTATTAGATAATTCATTGGGAAAATTATTTCAAAGGAAGAAAATATGGATACAGCGCTCATTTGTGTTGAAACCTTGATAAATTTTCATGTTTTTCTACATTGATTGCCAAAGTATTATTTGTATTTTATTTGTATCCTTTTAGTCGGTCTCATAGTGTATTTTCTGTGACAATACACATAAAGGAAAATACTATAGATGGTGAAGAGTTGTTAAAAACAGGAAAATTGTATTTGGTATGTAGTACAGTTTTTATTATTATTAGTTCAACACATTTAATGTAGATCAGGGGATCATGGTGGCTAAGTAAGTGGGTAAGACGCTGGCTCGCTAGCCTGAAGGTCGGGTGTTCGATCCCCGCATTGGCCAAGATTTTCCGGCGTGGTTTCCCCTTGTCAGTGATGCAGGATGGAGGACCTGACAAGGACAGCTGTCTAGTTGTGCGGATTGTACGAAAAACCGAGGTCCTGTGTACACAGTGGCGTGCACGTAAAAGATCCCTTGGCAGTTGGAATTCGATATAAGAGTAGGCCACTGCCCGGGCCAAATTTCCCTCATCGCACACTGTATGGTGTGTACCGTCTTCATTAGCCCAGTTTAGAAGCAGAACAGTAGGACATTAAACCACATTACATTTAATGTAGATCAGGATGAAATGTCTCAATGCTAAATCAGCTAAATATAGAAAAAAGGGACCACTCTACACAGTGCTTTTACTGTAGAATATAGTGAAAACAAGATGTTAATGAATTATTCAATAATTTATTAACATCTTGTTTTCACAATATACTATATTTGATATTATATACTACTCTACAACTGTTATCAGTTTACTTACTCCAACATCAACATTATTTTTTAGGTGTTTAGGGTTTTTTTAAAGTAAAATAAACACAATTTTTTTTTATAATTTTGTAAATAAGGTTGATCTGGCAGGAAGTGAGAATATTGGTAGATCTGGTGCTGTAGATAAAAGAGCAAGAGAAGCTGGTATGTTTTATATTGTTTTAAACTTGAAAACGATGTTATAAAAACATATTCTCAATTGATATTGTTGTATTATTATATGACAAACATTGGTTTTAGTTTTTACAGCTGTAAGTTTTTTTAGTCCATATTTTGAAAAATATCACTGAGTAGTTAATGCATTTTTGAGGATCTTCTTTATTTTGGTAAATATAGATATTATAAATTATTTTCAGGTAATATAAATCAGAGTTTGTTGACATTAGGAAGAGTTATAACAGCTTTAGTTGAGCATGCTCCACATATACCATACAGGTTATTACATTTGTTTACCACTTTGATAAACACGTTTTCTTTTTTATTCTTCTTAAAGATACATTATGGGAGATTAGATAAAGAGCTGGCAGTTCTCACTATAATAGTTAAATACTAGATAATGTAAAGGAATTTGCTGAAAATTGCAGTCAAATTGGTCCACTCTGAACCGAGAATTTAGCGATTGAATTTTCAGCCTAGCCCTGGTCATCATTACTAAAGTTGGTACGATAAAAAACATAGTCTCAATTATCCATTTCATGATTTAATCATGAATGAAAGTTGAGCAGCAAATCGGATCCTAATCCATTAAATATCACCGGCTAGCGATGACATCGAGAGTTGATTATGATCTGGATAAGTTAATTAATGATTAATTAATAATTTAGATAACATTTCAGGCCTAAAGAAAGACCTGCAATAGGCAGATTTATCTATTGCATAATGTATGTTTAAATGGACTAAATGTCTAAAGTAGTAACATTGCTCAAAATGTATTTGGATTGGTCAAATGATCAAACCGACAGTTGGGCTCTTAATAATCATATGATGTACTAGCACAAGTAAAGCTAAGCTGCATGTATCTAACAATTTTAAGTTAGATATTGTGTGCAAAGTGAGAGAACTGATCATATTCACAGTCCGAAACACTAGTTAAGTTAAATTCATTCTGGTAGGCGAGCAATTGGAGCAATTTGAATGCTATTTTTTGTCTATGTGTAGCTCAAATCTGTGTTTTTATAGTTATGATTGTGTTTTTCAGAGAGAGCAAACTGACAAGATTATTACAAGATTCTTTAGGTGGTCGAACTAAAACATCTATTATAGCAACTATATCACCTGCTTCATGTAATATAGATGTAAGTATCAGATTCTGTACAAAAACATCTTGATTGCATAAGATGGGAGGGATTTAGAGGCTAGAGAATGCTTGGAACTCCTCTGTTCATGATTATGACATTTAGCTTACCCCTAAATTCTAGTTAGTGGAAAATTTGCACAGCATAAGTTTGGGCATTTGAAAACTCTCAGAGGTAAAGGGAGGTAACCTGAATTTACTGGTATTACCATGGAGACTCGAATTGTATCCTTTATAGTATCTTGATCAATCATAGTAGCTGAAACAAGTTTCTTGTGTTTAAATACACACCTTATCACCAATTAGAACTGGCAGAATTGTGACGTATTTAGTTCCATTTTACTCATTCAGTCAGTGTCATTTTGTAAATCAGAATTTTTTGTACTTGTAAACTAGCAAGCCCTACTGATTCAGTGATTGTGACTTATTGTTATATCGCGTAGTGAGTCAAGTGGAAGCACATGTTCAATGTGAACATTATGTAAAATGATTTTGTTTTGTATGCTTGTTATTTGTTACACATTGAACCTTTTCTTTTTTATGCCAGGAAACTCTGAGTACATTAGACTATGCTCATAGAGCTAAGAACATCATGAACAGACCAGAAATTAACCAAAAACTGACCAAGAAAGCTTTATTACGAGTAAGTAGATCTATATAAATTGGAGATAATCGAATAATTGGCTGTAACGTTTTATCCTCGATTCCACATTAAGTTTGATAATATGTGACTGAATGTCTTTTGTTACTGTAAAATTTGCAAAATGTGGTAAATGTATAATTATTATAATTTGTATTTTCAAACATTTTTCATATGCCCACAATTAATAAATGTTGTCGTCCATCCTCAATTTCTTGTGAGTATTGGTATTATACACAGATTTGTAAGGATTGTTCATTTTGGTCATTAGGAGGAATAACGTTATCGAAATTCAAATCACTGACTAATCTCCCACCGTATTATAAATTTAGGAATGTCCCTGAACTCGGTGTAGTTAAAATTTCTTGATGAAATTGTTCATTAGGCTTTAATGAGGAAGCTTATTGAATTTCAAAATTTTCTAATCATGAATTTTGCAGCGTTATCTCTCTGGGCACATTTTGACATCCTGTGATTGTAACCATGATACACGATAAAGTCCAAAAGTGGAATTATTTTCAGAATGTTAATTTCGTAGCTATTTTTCTGAGTTATCTTCGCATAATTTACATTTTAACTGCTAAAGATTGTGAACACTAGACAATTTTTTTAGAATTTACATTTTGAAGTGTTTCTTTCTTTTTACTTGGGAAAGAGTTTTTTTTTAAAAACTTGTTATACAGGAATGATATTCAATTATTTTAGAGCTAGCCAGGAAGACTTTGCAGTTGGTGAGTATTATGGAGCCTGTCAAGTCGACTGTGTTTCGAAGAATAATTAAAAATAAACTTTTCTCTTTTTTTTTTCCCAGGAATATAATGAAGAAATTGAACGTTTAAGAAGAGATTTACAGGCAGCTAGAGAGAAAAATGGAATATTTATTGCAGAAGAAAATTATGTGTAAGTGTACAATATATTTATGGGTCTGTATTTTTCTATACCGGTATATAGAATTGAGTATGGAGAAAATGTTAAGTAGTTGGATGACACTTTTTAAATACTTATGTATAATTTATGATTCAATTTTTTCTATTATCAGTGCTATGCAAAACAAGATATTACTCCAAGAAGAAAGTATTAAAGATATGGAAGAGAAAATAGAAGCTCTGACAGAAGAAATGGCCAAGGTATAAAAGTGCTCAATCTCAATATTGGTTTATTTCAATATTTTTTTTTAATTGTATTGAAAATCAATGAGATTTGTTTTTTTTTTATATTCCAACTTGAATAGACTTGATAATTACATTTTTAAGTTCTATTAACATAATTAGTATTCACTCTTTTTTTTGATGTCCGTTTCCATCTGGAATTGGGATATGTTAATTACAAGTTATTGATATGTTTATCTCTCATACTTCTTGTTATTATGAACAGATCACCTGGTTACAATATTACGTGCTGTCTCCATTAGCGCAGTCAGTGAAGAAAAGAGGATGTTAAACCCCATTTTATTTCATTTCACATATTCCTTTTTCTGCAAATAAATGATTATAATGTGTTTTTTTTTATAGTTATCTGATTTATTTGATGATACAAAGAAGGATTTAGAACAAACTACAGAACAGTTGGTGATAACATCCCAGAATTTAGAAATTACTGCTAACAACCTGGAACATACCCAAAAAACACTGGAAGTAACAGAACAAGATCGTAATGAACAAAAATATCTAGTATCAGAACACGTTAAAACAGAAACAGTTCTTTTTTCACAAGCTCAACAGGTAGGTACAATCATTCCAGATGCCTGGCTTGTCAGCAACTTTTAAATATATCTTGGTTAGACCAAGTCAGTCCATTGTACAGGGTGCAAAAACTTAATGTAATGAATGTGTTTTTTCATTAAATAGATATGTCTATATTTTATACCACTGCAAAGCACTAGGGAGAGGGGTTTTACATAGGCTAAGCCTGTTCCCCAATCCCATTCAGATGTCCTGAATAAAAATAAACCCTCAGCATCATTGTGGCTGTTATACATAGTTATTCATCTGACAAATACATTTTTTATTAGATTTTAAAATTAAAGGTAATGTGATTAATTTTATGATATATGTATAGTTACTAGATACAGCAGAATCATCAACATCAGATGTTAGTGGTTTACATGCTAAACTAGATAGAAAACGGTCAGTTGAAAAACATAATGAAGACCATAAATCGTCCTTTCAACAAAACTTTACACAAAATATTACCAAGATGGAGCAACAGTTGGACGAATTTTTACAACAACAGAATTCATTTAAAACATCATCATCAGATCAACTTGGTAATAATTTAAATAGAAATAAAGTAAACTGTCAAAGATTCTTTTATGTGCAAGCCCCTGTTTACATGGGACCTTGTTTTTTGTTCCATCCAAATGACTAGACATTGTGCCTTGCATTTTAATAGGAACATCTATGATGTAGGAAACTACAATAAATAGTGAATCACATATTTTAAATAATCTAAATGCTATTACTACTTTGTGTCCCAAGATAGAAATACAGAACATATTTTGCGTTTTTCAGATAGTCTGTTAAAGAATAGATTAAATGAAATGAGTGGTGTTATAGATCAAGTAAATAACTTGTTTACTATTGTACAAGATGACGTTATAATTATTGATAAACATCAACAAGAGAGTAAACAACAACATGACACAACAATAGACAGTATAATGGAGTACACTACATCAACAAAGGTTTGTCATAAGTCAATTAGATATTTCTTATTGGATCATTTTGAGTCTAACATAAATGGTAAGCTTAGATAACATTTTTTCAGCATTTTATACAAAAATTGTGCAGCAGATTATAAAGGGAGGCTCGCATCAAGCATCACAGGTACAAGGAATCTAATACCATGGCTGACTAGAGGCATGCTCCACTGAAATTGTTCTTAAATTCTGTATGTTCATGTTCTCGGGTGCATTCTGACCTGATTTGTGTACACAGTACCTGATCTAGATTTATTATACTAGAAATGTTTACTCTGCATATTTTACACAGGAATTGCATTGTTGATATCTTCAAGCTCTTCTTATGATATTATAGGAAGTCATGAAATGGTAAAAGTGTGTATATTTTTTTAGGAGAAACAAGTGAGTAGTATAGAAAGTAGAAGAGACAAGATATTATTACCTACAGTAACAGGTTTACATACTGCCCTACAGACACATTGTACAGCTTTATTACAACTTGTAGATATCGTTAATAAACAGGTAAGATGGTTTTCTTAATATACCTGTTACTATACTTTGGTGATGGGCACAGCTGTTATTTTAATTTCTAGAAAGGGTGTGCCATGCACGTAATGTGTGATAAGATAAGCAAATCTGTGGTTTTGCTGTGTTGACATTAAAAGTCTGAAGATGAAAAAATAAGTATTTGAGAATCAACATATATTGACCATGTGAGGCTATTCACACATCAAATAGATTGTCCCTAAAAATCTATAATATTGTCTGTCAAGTTGACGAATTGGGTTTGACCACATGGTTTTGTGTTTGATCCGTATTCTGGCTTTAACTGAGTACTGATAGTGTTAGGTAAGATAAATAAAGCAGGAAAATACTGTAGCAAAAATATGACCTGGGTTATGAATAGTATGTTACAAAACAACGTTAATCATTGATATACACGAGGAATAGAACAATTCATTTAAAGTAGCTAAGTCTCTAACTCAATATCACCCAAAGTCTTCCACATTGAAAACACAAATTATTTGTCAATTTTACATCAACATTGAAGTTGTGATCTTACCTGGAAAAGATGGGCTTCTGATAGTGATATCCAGTATTTAAGACAAAGTAAACATTTTACCATTTGTACACGAATCGTGTACCATAACACAAGTCATGTGCACAAAAATACTATCAGTAGAGAGGCAACCCCTTTAACCAGAGAAGATAGACGAACTCCTGGTAGATTATAAACTAATTTATTCTAAACGTTTCTTCTCTAGTTAAAAGGTTGGCCTCTCTACCTATTTCATCTTCTTCCTGAACTCCTTGTGTATCACTGAGATCCCAGTTTAGATGTCCTCCAACTACTAGCCTCCAGCTACTTTAGACCTACTTTACGAGAGTTGTTGTAGTTTTCTACCACAAAAATACTATCAGTGTAGACTGGAATAACCAGACACTAGAGATTGCCATTCGATTATTATTATTACATTATTATATGTGTTGTTACCCATTAGCGATTTACTTTAACTTTAAACTCAAAGGTCTAAGTTCACTTTTATAACACATGCAATGAGGCTGGTATATACATTAGGTCTATCCCAAATCTATTTGGCATAGGGCCTACATGTAGACCTACATTTTATGATACAGACCAACCACAACAAAATTTTTACTTATCTACTTATTGAAATGTTATTACTCTGGCAATTTTATTATTATCATTGGAAAAGACTAATCAATATGTTTTTATTTTTAACAATTACCGGTATGCTTTTATTACCGTAGGATTATTTGAGAAATGAGAATGATGTTATGTGTTTTATTAACAGAGAGAAGAACAAGCTGTACTATTAGAGAAACAAACAACAAGTCTACATAATGAGTTGGAGAAACTATCTAATACAGTCAATACACATGTTACACAAACAGAACAACAAATAAACAACTTACAACAACAAACATCATCAGCAAATCAGTCTTATTCTTTACTTCAAAAGGTAAATTAAATATACAAATAAGACACACTGCACCACTGTTTTGACTAGAAGTACTGGCCAGACATAATGTTGATGGACATGTCATTTTTGGCATGATTGTAGGCTGAACATCAACAACAACCCACAGAGGCCATAACAACTTTACAGTAAAATGAAACCACAATAGATAATGGGTAAAAACCAAGTCAGTAATGTGTGTATCCACCTCTATCAGCTACATTTGAATTGGAACGTCGCTACCTGGATGAAATAAGCCTTTAAATTTTAAATGGCTGCTTGTCGTGTCCTTCTCCGCTCTTGTTACAATTGTGCTTCCAGTTGTTCTGGTACTCCTGCCTTCTTGAATTAAAGCAATGGTGTATTCTCAGTGTTCAGGTGTCAATTTTTGTATATCATTGTGTCTGTAAAATGAGGATGTAATGTATATGATATTAATAAAATGTAATGATTATCTCTTCTATATTATATATTTATGATTTGTATTATCATTAATAGACCTTGGAAAACAAATTAAAAGAAACACTTGAATTAGTTTGTCAACAGAATACTATTTTCACTGAACAAAACCAGAGGGTAAGTCTTTGAAAATATATCGGCAAGCAGAATTTGTACTTTATCAAAATTAAACAGTTTGATTTAGGGGAATTAGGAGCAGAAAAGTAACTAATGCCACACAGACATTAGGCATTCTAATTCTATATTAAATTTTCAAATAATTTTTACTGATTTTAGGTAACAGTACTAGTAGAACAGCAAATATTTTTTGAATATCAATTGTTTAATTAACAGAAAAATAAATGGAGCCAATATTTTTTTTTATCAGGTTGACAGTAGCTGTGTTGATAATTTGTGTAATAACTCAACATTCAAGGACAATGTACAAAGGTATGTTTTGCTATTTTGTTTTCATTTGATCATTTCTTTAACATTCTATTTATCAGAGCGTTTATTCTGTTCTATATAAACGAGGAAAAGGAATTCAGTTTTATTTGGATATGAATTTATATTTCTCGGATGTCACAGTTTTCAAAATATCTGTGGAGGTAGACTGTTACTTATCTATCTTACGTATGAAAATATTAAGATATTTAATTATTTTCAAACTGATAAAGTTTTGACATAATATGGTTTTTTTAGTCATACAGATAACTTAACATCACTAATCAAATCAAATGAAAGAGAATTATTAAAAGAATCTGAATCAAGTACTGGTCACATTCAAGATGATATAAATAAGGTAATTATGGAACTTTAAGGATAATTATATAACCTTAAAGGTGACATACTCTTGGAAAATAGCTTGATGTATTAAAGAGACATTTACCTATTATAGTATTTCATAACCTTTATTTAAAATTCTGGATCTATAGATTATAATGTGTTAAATTTATAAGTTTTATTAACACTTTAAATATTATCCAAAGGTTGGTAGGTGGTTTTTTTTTACATTAAATCTATGTCATCCCAGAATTAATGTCACAGGTGAATAATAATAGTGTTTTTATTTAGTCGCAGTCAGTTACAATACAAGATTATCATCAAGATACCTTTTCCAGTAAAAGTACTCTTAATCCCCACAAAAAGTGCATTAGTTTCTATTTGATTTCATGTTACTGTTTATGTGATTAAATAAAATTATTGATTGTGAAAACATTTCATACAAGCCATCACAATCACGTGTATTTTTGCAGGTTTTTTTTTTGGTAAGCTAATACCGGTACTTATTGAGATATTTGTGTATAATCTGGCATGTTGGTTTTTATGTATGTTGTTCACTTCAGGTTAAAGAAAGCTTAGAAAAGAACAGTGAACAACTTCTAACTCTTCAGGCAGATATTACTGACACAGTTACCTCCCATACACAAGCCTGGGCTGATCATAGTTGTCAAATAACGAAGAAACTAACTGATCATAAAACTACTATACAGTCATCATTACAAACACATTGTCAAAATACACAGGTAAATGATTTAGGCCCCCGTGCATTCATATCGTATCAAATATCAATTATCATATATCATCTCATCACCTCATCACCTCATCTCATCTCATCTCATCTATCATCTATCATATCATATATTACTGACTAAAGATATTTCTTATATACCAACATAGGCATTTCTGTGGTAAAATTAATATAATCACAATGAGAACTAGGATCAGGGAGAAACCTTTATTTTTATCTCAACCTTAAAATAATTATGCCATCGTCATTTAAGGACCATTTCAAGTTCTCTGCTGACTTTCTTAATTCTAGCAAAGAATCAAATTATTTAAACAACTCGTTATCAAAGGTCTTCATTATCTTCTATTTTTTCTAGCATTTAACCAGTTCATATAGTGAACAACATGAATCTGTATTAGAGAAATTTGCTCAAAATAAACAACAATGTCAACAAGATGTACAATCAATCAACAATATAATAACAGAACAATCACAGTCTATTACTGACTGTACAGCTTCCTTAACAACCAATATCAACAACAGACAAGAAGATATGTTAGAATTTATTACTGACATGAAAGTTGATGTACCTACAGGTAAATTGTAACCTGGTCAATAAATTATATTATCCTTTAACCGAGTAGGGGAACAACTGATTATATTGTTCCATGCATCTAATTCTATGTTTGTTTTCGCTTGGATTTTAAAGAGCCTTTTAGTGTAAATATTAATTGGTTATCTGTTTAAAATCAGGATTTATCTATTACTTTACTGTAATTGTCAAGAGCATTAAATGAAACTGAAATGAAAAATGCTGCCCGAAAATTATATTTCATCAGCCACCCTTTTTATACGCCCACATTTTCATGTGGACGTATATTGTCGCCGCCCCTGTTTGTCCGTCCAGATGGACATCCATCCGTCCACAATTTGTTTGTGGACACTCTACAGGTCACAATTTTCATCCGATTTCAAAGAAACTTGAAATATAGCTTTATCTCCCTAAGATCTTGGTTCCTTTCGATATTGGCATGTATCAGACCATAACTTTATTTTAAGAAAAATCTCGTTTTTAGCTTGTGGATACTCTAGAGGTCACAATTTTTATCCGATTTTGTTGAAACTTGAAATGTAAGTTTATAACCCAAAGATCTCGGTTCCTTTCGATGGTCGCGCATATTGGACCGTAACTTCCTTTCAATATCGACATGTATCATGGCCCTTGATTTTAAGAAAAATCTCGTTTTTAGGTTGTGGACACTCTAGAGGTCACAATTTTTATCCGATTTTGTTGAAACTTGAAATGTAAGTTTATAACCCATAGATCTTGGTTCCTTTCGATATTCGTGCATATCGGACCATAATTTTATAAATTATGGCCCCTGATTGTATGAAAAATCACGTTTTTAGCTTGTACCCTAAGGAATTTCGTGAAAATCGGCCCCAAAATGACAGACAAAATGGCTGCCCTCGTTCTCAAATAGCGTAAAAATATGGTACATCAAGGTTGTGGACCCAATAGAGGTCACAATTTTGATCCGATTTTGTTGAAATTGGAAATGTGAGTTTATAACCCAAAGATCTTGTTTCTTTTCGATATTGCCATATCGGATAGTAACTTCCTGAATTATGGCCCTAGATTGTACGAAAAATCGCGTTTTTAGCTTGTGGTCCTTGTAGAGGTCACAATTTTTATCTGATTTAAAAAAAAATGTGTAAATATATCACCATTACACACTAAGATCATGGATCCTTTTGATAATTGCGGATACTCGAACTTAACTTCCTGGATTATGGCCCCTTATTGTTTGAAAAATAGCATTTTTAGCTTGCGGATTCTCTAGAGATCACAATTTTTTTTCCGATTTTAAATATTTCACCATTCCACCATAATGAAGGTTGAATTTGAATTTCGGGAAAATCGAAATGAAACTGCCCAACAAAACGCCCGCTCTTTGTTCGCAAATTGTGTAAAAGTATGCAATACGAACGTTGTCGACCCTCTAGGGGTCACAATTTTTGTCCGATTCTGATGAAACTTAAATCATATCTTTATATCCCAAAGATCTCAGTCCCTTTTGATATTTGTGCATTTCAGACCATAACTTTCTGGATTATTGCCCCTGATTGTACAAAAAATCCCATTTGTTTTTAGCTTGTTCTCTATCCATCTCTTGCAAAATGTGGGCGTATCCTGCCTGGCAGCCGCTGGTTATTGGTGGTATTATATTAACAAAACAACATTCTCTTTTTTTATCAGGAACAACTCCACAAAGAAAAGAATTTGCGTATCCTAGAAATCTGTCCAAGACAGCAGCTCACAAAGACTTGATAGAAGAAATGCATAGACAGACACATCAAGATCCAATAGCCATTAATTTATCTAATTCAATGGATGCAGTACAAGAAGAAGAAACAGCAGAAGTTACATCTAGAAAATCAGATTCTTCAGAGGTAATTTAGACAACATCTTTGGAATCAATCTGAACGACAGACTCACCCTACCTGCAGAGAAGTGACTCTGACACAGTGAATAGCCATGATATCCATATGACGTTATCTAAACGTCACAGGTCATGAGGTCACATCAACAAACACCATCATTATGATCATTATCAACATTACAAGACACAATGTTACATTGTAAACAATAGCCTTCTTGCAGCCTTAGGGACTGTATAATCCGTACAGAACGTCTTATCGCTTCTTCCAATGATTTTTCACAAAAATAACATCATCTACAACTCTGACTCTAGATTTGACGTCGGCATATTGGCACTATTTTGTGCTTCGGTCGTGTCTATTTCAGATATACACAATCAATTCTATGTTTTTAGCGTGGGGATTGACTAAAAGTTAATTTATTTCAGTTCTAAACAAAAATTTAAAACTTTTACGCATTTTTTAAAAAATAGCCAAATTCTGGCTGGGATTACTGAGCAAAATGGCCATTCACTGTATACGTGCGAAAAAAAAAGCCAGCTACCATTTAATTTTCGTACGTTAGTTACGTACGCTTTGGAATGTGAGTTTCGTACACATTATTTCGTATAGAGTTATGGCCCTTGTTTTACCTTATTGAACCTTGTGAATGCCAAAGTTATCATCCGATCTTTCTGAAATTAATATGCATTATTTGGATTAGTGAAACAAAGAAGCCTATTGAATTTCAGAAATTTCCATTTATTACTTCTAGAGTTAAGGCCCTTGTTTCAGTTTATTGAACCTTGTGAACACTCTAACGCCAAAAGTTATCACCTGATCTTTGTGAAATTTATATTATATGCATGATTTAAATTAGTGAAACGAAGAAGCCTATTGAATTTCAGCAATTTACAATAATTACTTCTAGAGTTATGGCCCTTATTTCACTTTGTTAAACCTTGTTAATGCTCGATTGATGAAAGTTATCATCCGATATGTATGAAATTTATATGCATCATTTAAATTTGTGAAACAGTGGTCTATTGAATTTCAGCAATTTCTGTCAATAATTTCTAGTAAGAACCTTGTGAACCCTCAAACGACGAAAATTATAATGTCATCTGTATGAAATTGTCTTATAATATAAATGCCCCTAATTGCCTACAAAAGAATAAATGACAAGCCTTGCCGACAATTAAGCTGCTGTGGGCGTATGTTTTGTTGCCTGGCAACCTATCTTTTAAGCCCACAAGGAAATAAGATATGTTGTTGTTGCCCCTATTCGTACGTTCATCATATGTGCATTATTTGAAGTAGTAAAACATAGAAAACAATCAAATTTCAACAATATTTGCTAATTAATTTTACAGTTAAGGCCCTTGTTTCACTTAGTAGAACCTCATGAGCATTATCATCCGATCTGTATAAAATTCATGTGCATTATTCAAATAGTAAATGAAGCCTATCGGATTTCATCTATTTCCATTTATCACTTCTGGAGGTGTGACTCTTGTTTCACTTCATAAAACCTTGTGAATGCTCAAATGACAAAAGTTATCATATGATCTGCATGAAATTCTTGTTAATTTGTTCTGGTGTTATGGCCCTTGTTTCACTTTGTAGAACCTTGTGATGTCGTCCGATCTGTATGGAATTTAAAATAAAATGCATTCTTAGTAAAATGAAGAAACCTATGGAATATCTACAATTTCTTTTTATAAGACCCTTGTTTCACTTTGTAGTACCTTATGAATGCTCAAAAGACGAAAGTTTTCATCCAATCTGTATTAAATTGATATTAATGTATTGTAAGCGCTCCCATTACCCTTAAAAAAAAATATGAGACAACCATCGTCGACTGCACGAACGATTTAGCTGCTGTGGGCGTATGTTTCATTGCCTGGTAATAAATATATTTATTTTTTAACAGTACAATGATACAGCTAGTGATGCTGGTAGTGATGTATCGTCTACATCTGGTATATCAACAACTAGTAATACTAGTAACAGAAGTAAAGTAAGTGTAATAATAATGTCTACCTACTTTTTATACGCCCACTTTGAAATATGGTCATATATTGCTCCATGATCATGAAATGGATAATCGAGACTATGTTATTTATCATACTGACTTTAGTAATGATGACCGAGACTTAGGACGAAAATTTAATCTCTAAATTCTCGGTTCAGAGTGAATCAATTGACTGAAATGTTCAACAAATTCCCTTTACATTATCGGGGTTTTTTAATTATTATAGTGAGAACTGCCAGCTCTTTATCTAATCTCCCATAATGTATCTTTAAAGTCAAGAGATGAGTAAGCATATTGATTTTCAACAATTTCCGATAATTACTGCTAGAGTTTACCCTTGATCATTTTCTAAAAAATCGTGTGGACACACTAGAGGCTGAAGTTAATATCCAATTGACTTTAAATTTATACAGACTGTTAAAGATCACAAGAAGAAGAATCCTATTGATTTTCACCGAATTCCGATAATTACTGCCAGAGTTATGGACCTTTATTACTTTGAAAAATGTTTTGGATGCTCTAGACGCTAAAGTTAATATCCGATTGACTTCAAATATATGCACAGTGTTTACAGTCATGAGACGAAGAAGCCTGTTGATTTTCAACGATTTCCAATAATTACTGCCAGAGTTATGGCCCTTGATCACTTTGAAAAATCATGTGGACACTCTAGGCACAAAAGTTAACATCCGATCGACTTCCAGAGTTATGATCCTTGATCACTTGAAATCTTATTGAAGTTCTAGAAGCTAAAGTTAATATAAATTTTTACAGTGTTTATAATACAATCGAAACAAATTCAAATGATTTCTGATGATTACTTAATTTTAGTGAGTTGTAAATGTTTCCATTACTTACAAAAGAAAAAATATGTCAAAACCCTTGTCTGCCCAGGTGACTTAGCTGCTAAGGGTGTATGTTTTGTTGATTGGCAACCTATCTTTATCAAATATCATATAAGTAAAAGCAGGATTTTTTTTTTTCAATTCTGTATTAATACTGTCACAAAGTAAATAATGGTATCGCTAATGCTGCATGATACGTCAACATTCCTGCTTTAAAGGACAATATTGGTGCCAGTCATTATTATATATGTGATAGAACTGGTTAAACACATTCCAAATATTATTTTATCACAGAGATCATTGCTACGATAGCTGTGGAATCAATGTTTCAGCAATCGGAAGTGACGAACAAAAAAAGGAAAACACGAGTTATCCTTCTATATAACTGATTGAAGTGACGGGTGATAACAGGTACATCTAGATGAACTTTCTCGGCCAACACAGGGATCGAACCCCTGACCTAGTTAGTGAGTCAGTGTCTTATGCACTGAACCACCATGTCTACCTCCTGAGTTATAGACAGGTTTATCCAGGCACATTGTAATTGCTATTTAAGCCGGTTGTATCTACTTTAATGCTATGTAAATATCCACTAGTCATAGAAATTTCTTCAAACATTTCTAAAAAAAACTGCACCCCATTTCAAAAGGCCACTTTATACATTTCTCGTTTTGATCATTGTTATGTAAAATTATTTTTTTTCTCCCCCAGATGTGTGTACATTTGCATTTGAGTTAGACCATATAAGGACTTGTGAATTTTTCTTGTTTGTCATTAGTACTATACATGTAGTATAGTACATCACTGTACCATACCATATGGAATTCAGCCTGTTATAATATTACAGGAAGGAAATGATAATCATCTTTCACACATATGATAGTTCTCACGATTTCATGACTGACTATTATCATACAATCCGATGCTATTATTAATATAATGATCAGGAGGTTTAGTGAGTAATAATACCACTGTAATATATACAAATAAGTTATAACTTAATCACTGTATAGTGTCATTGTCTTTTCATATGTAACATATATGCTTATTAATATTATGACCTTTGTTATTATTTTATGTATTCAAAAATTATTTGAGTAATTGGATCACATGTTCTTGGGGGTTTTTGTGTGCAATATGTAAGCTTATTATTGTATTTATAAGAAATCTTATGTCATATATTTTGCTTCTCCTTATGAATGACCAAAAGTTTAAAATAATAACACTATCAGTATGCTGGTAGCATGGGGAAAGGGCAATAACACTATAACCTACAATTGATGTGTGAATCATAATTTCTATAGGTGTTCTATAAAATAAATCTCTGGAACTCTAACCTGCAGAAATAAATCAATGTAAATTTGATGTATCTCTGACCTATACAGTGTTTACAAGATTTATTTTCATCCATAGTTTGTGTACAAAATTGCTGCATAGATGGACAGGTGTGACAACAATATAGTCGTTAGATCTGCAAGAAATATTTATATTGTAAAATCTTTATTATTACAGATGTCAGAAAGTAAAGAAAATCGCACCAGAACCGGAATGAAACCCCCAACAAAGATGGTGAAAAAATCTACAAAACCAAACAAAACACCCACAAAAACTACAACTCCAAAAACTAAATTACCATTACGTAGTAATAATACACCAGCTTAATTAAGTTGATTAGTTTTATATATTTTATTGTAATATAATCTAAAGTTCTATTTTATTATTTGTTTTTTATATTTTAGTTGATAAACATGTAAAATATTGAATACTTTACCAATTTGTTATAGGAAATACGTTCTCACAATATTCAATAGAAAAGAAAAATAAAGCGAAATTTAATAGAAGTCTAAAATACATTATAGAAATGTATTAGTTTCACATTAGTTCCAGTCATATTGGGTGACACTTATTGGAATAAATAACAAATATTTTAAACTTAAGAGTTACTAATCATATTAGGAAATGAATCATTATGGCCAGCACACACCAACAATTAGATGTCCAGGATTTTCCATTACCGACAAATAATCAGTGGTCTGCAATAATACAATATTACTACAAAAGTTTGTTCCAAATGCACCTTTCTACAACAGAAATAATTGAGTGATTGAAGGAGGCCTATAAATCTCTATATATGTGTATAATTTTTATACGCCCACATTTTGATGTGGACGTATATTGTCGTCGCCCCTGTCCGTCCATCCATCCACAATTTGTTTGTGGACACTCTACAGGTCACAATTCTTATCCGTTTTTGACGAAACTTGAAATATAGGTTTATCTGCAAAAGATCTCGGTTCCTTTCGATATTGGCATGTATCGGATTGAAACTTCATGGATTATGGCCCCTGTTTGTACGAAAAGTCACGTTTTTAGCTTGTGGACACTATAGAAGTCACAATTTTTATCCGATTTTGTTGAAACTTGAAATATAAGTTTATAAACCAAAGATCTTGGTTCTTTTCGATATTCGCGCATATCGGACCGTAACTTCCTGAATTATGGCCCCTGATTGTACGTAAAATCGCGTTTTTAGCTTGTGGACCCTATAGAGGTCATAATTTTTATCCGATTTAAAAAACGTATTATTATATCACCGTAACACCATAAGGACGGATGAGTTCGAATTTCGTGAAAATTGGCCCAAAATTGACAGACAAAATGGCCGCCGTTCGTTCTCAAATAGCGTAAAAATATGGTATATCAAGGTTGTGAACCCTATAGAGGTCACAATTTTTATCCGATTTTGTTGAAACTTGAAAAGTAAGTTTATAACCCAAAGATCTTGGTTCCTTTCGATATTCGCCCATATCGGACCGCAACTTCCTGAATTGGGGCCCCTGATTGTACGAAAAATTGAGTTTTAGCTTGTGGACCCTATAGAGGTCATAATTTTTATCCGATTTAAAAAAACGTATTATTATTATATCACCGTTACACCCTAAGGATGGCTGAGTTCGAATTTCGTGTAAATCGGCCCAAAATTGACAGACAAAATGGCCGCTGTTCGTTCTCAAATAGCCTAAAAATATGGTATATCAAGGTTGTTGAGTGTGGACCCTATAGAGTCACAATTTTTATCCGATTTTGTTGAAACTTGAAATGTAATTTTATAACACAAAGATCTTGGTTCCTTTCGATATTTGTGCATATCGAATTGCAATTTCCTGAATTATGGCCCTTGATTGTAGGAAAAATCACTTTCTTTTTAGCTTGTTCATCTGTCCATCTCTCGAAAGTGTGTGTGTGTTAAATGCCCAACAGATATCACTGATGATAGGACAAATAATACTTGATGTACCCAGCTCATGTCTTAAAAGCTAAATGGTGTCAATGATTTGGCATTTAGTAATTGATTTGAAAATACACAGGATACTATGGAATACAATTAATTTTATTACTCATGTAATAAAGAGCAATTATATTTCATAATAATACCTGCTGACTGTTTTATGACCATTAGTCAACATAAAGTCATATGACACCCATACAGAAATTAGTTTGTGGGGATTAACAGGAAGTAAGGATATTTATATCTTTATTATGAATGAGTAATGTATTTTTGTATTTTAAACAAGCCTGTTGTTATAATATATTTTATTATACATTCACATCTGTATAGTCATACATTTATCCTATACAATCTGTTATATATTCAATTTATTATTGGCTACTTCCCCTTTAGTTTATGGTCAGATTACTTAAAAATGGAAAATAGTATTTATCAAAATATGGTATAGAAAATATGAAATGTTTTTGGAAGATTTCCATCACCAATAAAGAGACAGGAATGGGGTTAATGCTCACTTGACACAAACTAGTTCAATTCTGTCAGATTTGTTAAAAATTGAAAATATGGTATAGAAAATATTATTGAATGTTTTTGGAAGATTTCCATCACCAACAAAGAGAGAGGAATGTGGTTAACACTCACTTAACATATGGGACTAACATATGGTTCATTTTTTTTTGGTGGAATTAGGTGGCCGAATGGTTAACGAGTGCGCTTTGGATCAGAAATTTTGTCAATGAGTCAAGTGGCATGGTTTCGATTCCCCGCTTGTACATGACAAGGAGTAGGGTCATCTGTCCAACCTTGTGGGTTTTCCCTGGGTCCTCCCACTGCTAAAGACCTCTACGCGCAAGCAAATTATTGACATAAATGACCTAGTCCCGAAATAACCTAGTTTGTATCAAGTGAACGTTAAACCCCAATTCTCTCTCTCTATCTCAATTTTATTTCAATAATTTGCTTGATTTTAGGGGATCTCCAACAAAGTAATCAGATTCATTTCCAAGAAGTGGCCCTGTCACTCCCTCATGTACTTTATGATGGAATGGAACAGCCCTAAATATAATGTAAGACTGTTTATATTACATACCTAGTAGTATCGATATTTAATATAGATTTATTGTGCCATAACACAATATACTTTAAAGTTTTAATATATAAACCATATTGAATAGTTTATTTCATTCAATCATGTTTGACATATTTTAATCAATTGTACATGTATATATTTTATAGCCCTTAATAATTGAAAAGCACCATCCAAACAGGTCATCTTCATCTTGTAAACCTTCCTGGGTTTAATATCAAGTCTATATTAACTAATCTTGCTTACAAAGATGCATTATGTAAGATGAAGATAAAAAACTGGACGTTCTTGCTTATAATAGTTCACACTGTTCTCTAAGCAAAGTTATAACTGTTTGATTCTTGGCCTTGATTGTCCATTTTGTCGTAAAACTTTTAAATCTCATGGATGTTTTAATCCATTTAAATCTCTGCCATGCGATGATCCAGAGTTGATTTTTGGCTTGTCATGTTAATACATGTCAAAATAATAATTTATGTAGCATTTGAAGCCAAAAGAAAACCCTGCAAGGAGCAGTTTTAGCTCTTACATAATGCATGTTTACAACAAATAGTAAAAAACGAACAATGAATTAATGTTTGATTTGTTAAATCATCTTATATTATTTTTCTAGCCCTTCAGCCCAGATTCTAGTCCAAAGCTAGTTCAAATGATCCATCTTTAAAGATATATTCCTTTGATATGCAATACCCTACTTTCATAATCATTTTGAGAAATTATATCTAAGCTACAGGGAACACTATTAAGTTCTGGATATGTACTGCTATTACCTAGAACTATATTGTCTCTGCTCCCTCTACACAGCTATGGTCTGGGAACATTGGTCTTTAAGTCATCAATTGATTCAGAATGCCATAACAAGCAAATTAACCTTGAAGGAATATATCTTTAAATAATAAGTGTGTTTTCATGAATAAAGCCTAGTTATTTATTGATTACTATATTTCTGATACTGTCTTGTCTATTCCTATTCAACTTTTTCTTGTTCTTGTATTACTCACCATGTCAATACTTCATTGAAATTATTAAATATTTAGTTAATTCAAAATATGTTTTCTTTTTCTTTTTAAATATTTCCTGGCAGAAATGTTTTTAAAAGTATGAATAGTTACATTTTCCATGCAAAATTATATTGGGCACCATTTTCCTGCTAATACAGAGCATTGATATGCGATTAATGCAGTTGCCCTTTTGTTCGCTCCAGCCACACTCATTTGTCCGTTCTCTAGAATTAGTGTAATTGTTTAAGCTACAATTTTCAATGAATCTTTCTCAAAACTTGGAATAATGATGCTTATGGGTAGACAACAATTGGGATTGACTATGATCGTAAACATTATTTTTGTTCTCGAGTTATGGCCATTTAATTAGCATAATTCTTCTTGTCCGCTCTGTTGAGGACACAATGTTTTTCAAACCTTAGAATAATGATGGCAAATGCTAATTGTTGGCCAGCTAGAGAGGTTCGGAATTTGGGGAATAGTAACCCTGTTAAGAGGGGTAAACGTAAATTGAAACCAAGTTCAGTTTTCTAAAAAAGGGTTAGGGTTAGTATTCCCCAAAATATTCATTTATATAAAGTGGCCATTGTGGTTTCTGGAAATTCCTGAACCTCCCCGACCTGCCTACATTTAGCATCTCCTCCTATGGTAAAATTATAATTGGGATTGAATTTAAACACAATTGGGTTTTTTTGTTCCGTAGTTATGACCCTTTAATTGCCGTAATTTTGCAGTCCACAACTTTTGACAAATCTTATTCAAAACTATCATTCTTATGAGTAGACAACTTTTTGGATCCATTATGAAAACAATTGCTATTTTTGTTCCTGTAATTACACAAATTTCACAATGTACACTGGTTTATTTCCTTCCAATGGGGTCCTTTAAATCTACCAAGTCATTATAGAGATATACACAGTCATGTCTATCAATTTACTATCACTAATTTATTCCTATTAATGGTTTTAAAGGGACTATCCCGATTTGAACAGAGTCTCAAAAATAAAAGTCCGAGTACGTACGAAATTTAAACGCCAAAATATAGAGGAATGGTGTATTTACCTTGTCTCAAAATTTTAGCTCAAAATACTGAGTTGTTTGGACGTGAACATCAAAACTGCTTATCCGGGCACGTAACCCTTTTAAGATTTCGGGTCAATTTTTTCGATGGGTGACCTGATAATCGATTCCCGTTCCTTTTAAAGTTTTTACAGTGAATGACCCATGTGCTATACTTAATAACGAAAGGTAAATTTCACCTACACATTATTTTTATAAAAATAAAAATCTGGTTTTATCCAGATACCGCATAATACAGCTTTGTGACACCGGTCTCCATTTCCAGATGAAGACTGACAGGTTTAAGTTGTTTGAAAACGTATCACATATATTGAGTTAGTTGCTCGGCCCTAATGTAGAGGATTTTAATACAAAATTAAGCAGTTTTATTCTCCAAAATATTATCGGGATTGGCCCTTTAAAGGCAGTTTACCAACACTCTTTCTGTAATTTGATGTTTTTAATGTTATTTTGTGCATAATATTAAAAATCATTTTTCTTGGTGAGAAGAATGTCTATACATATTTTACAAAAGCAGAATTTTATTACAAATCTGTTATATCAAACTGGTCCACAATAATAAACTATAACACATAGTTATCAATTGATAACGCATACTGCACGCAGCGACCCATCTACGTCATACTTCCCAGCCGGAGCTAGCTGTAGATAGGCAGCCTCATCCCAAACTTAGGCTGCCTATCTACAGCTAGCTCCGGCTGAGAATAGGCCCTAAGCTAATTAACCGACATTTTAATTCCTACGTCGACGATTTTAGTCGAAAACACTGAGTATGCTTTTAGAAATATTTAAAAGTATTTATTTCTCTTCTATTGTCATATTGAATGAAATTAAATATGTTTATTTAGCCGCTGTGTGTATGAAAGATGTCAAAATAATCAAAGCCGAATCACAAAATAGTCCTCTAATTATTCAATATGGCGGCGCCCATGAAACATAATTTCACAGAGGCGGTTTTGTTTGCGAAAACAAATTTAGGAGTATCTAACCTTGTTTTGAAAGATAAACAGATTGAAACTCTAAAGACAGTTTACAATGGTAAAGAATTTATTGCAATATTACCCATAGCACATAGTATATATCGCTTTTACGCGAGTGTCAGCGACATGGCGTGGGTTATTTTTACTCTGTTGTCTAAACAAATCGGTGTTTAGTCGATAAGTCCCGCCCCAAAATGGTCACGTGGTCGTTTTAAATGGCGGCTAATCGGGGCAGTGTCACATTCTGGGAAGTATGAGGCAGCCTAAGTTTGGGATGTTGATAACGTTGAGAGGGGATCACGTGGCTAAGTGGGTAAGACGCAAGCTCGCTAGCCTGGTGGTCGGGTGCTCAATCCCTGCATTGGCCGAGAAAGTTCATCCAGATTTTCCGGCGTGGTTCTCCCTTGTCAGTAATGCAGGACGGAGGGGCTGACAGGGAAAGCTGTCTAGTCGTTCGGATGGGACGAAAAACCGAGGTCCCGTGTACACATTGGCGTGCACGTAAAAGATCCCTTGGCAGTTGGAATTCGATATTAGGCCGTAGTGCCGCTGTCCGGGCAAAATTTCCCTCATAGCACACTATGGCGTATGCCCGTCTTCATTAGCCCAGCTTAGGAGCAGAACAGTAGGACGTTAAACTCCATTTCATTTCATTTCGATAACGTTGAGAGAATACACTTCGAATTGATAACTTTAAGAGACTACTCTTCGAAACGTCGCCAAAATAAATAAATAAGTAGCTGTTTTTCCATAATTATGTGTTATAGTTTATTGCACGACCCAGTTACTAAATGCCACTCAAAGATTATGGTCCACAGTAGATCTTAGGCTGTCCCTTACAACAACTTTTTAGGTAATCTTAATTATCATAAATTCTCACAATTGCTATTTGTCGCAATAAGCAAAGCAAAGAACAAATTTTTAAAGTAGACCAAATGATGACTGACAAGTTTTACAGAGTGAGCCGAGCCCATAAATCATATTAAATACTGATGTGACGTGATCCTTTGAAGTTGCTATTAAATTATTTCAAATATGGATCATACATTAAATTAAATTAAACTAAATGAAATATATATTGGTCTCGTGTGACGATTTTCATTGAAACACACTTGGGGATAGTGTCTGTATTTTGTTTATGTATAATATGCTTGGCCAGTCGACAAAATCTAATAATCCTGTTATAGTAAACCATGTCTCTTTTTAAATATCGGCGTAAACTGAAAAAGGTATTCCGTGCGAAGTAGCCATATTCTTGTATCTAAAAATTAACCTTCATTCAAAATGGAGGGAAAATCGGGTATTCCGATTTTTGAACACCGCCCCTTCCCTTTTGTTTAGCCAATCTCTAATGGTTATAATTTTAAACATAGACCATATGTTATACAACGTATGTTATTAGTGCTTTTGTGATCTTTTCTTGTGAAAATGTCGATGTTGTGGGACTGCGTTACTACTAATCACCAACCGGTAAAACCCTTTCAAGATATAGACAGAAGAAAACTGATTGACCGTAAAACTGTTGTCGGGAGATTGCAAACATTCGAGTGTTGGCCTCATAAAATGTCACCTCGCCCCTGGGACCTTGCTCAAGTTGGATTTTATTTTACACATACAGGAGACATTGTGGAGTGTTGTGATTGTTTAATGTCTAGGAAGGATTGGAAAGAGACAGAACAGCCCATAGTAGAACATTATATTTTAAACAAAAGATGCATATATGTTCAAAAGTTTAGGACTCATTTATCTTCAGTACGAGGTTACTCTGTTGCAGAGCTTCCATATGGCAGTGTTCGAGATAGAAAACGATCTTTTAAAGAGATTACTGATATTCGACATAGTGCAGCCGATTTAGCAAACGCCGGATTTTACTATTCTAATAAAGACAGATGCATAAAATGTTTTAGTTGTAATATAAATGCTCAAGACATGATTCCATGTGATATACCCGTATGTGAACATTATAAACGTTCACCAACATGTTCATATTTGCAACCGATTCTTGAAAAATTGACAGAAGCTTTGGAGGTGACAAGTATTAATGGTGTAGATTCCGATTGTTCGGACGATGAATCAAATAACGGAGCTCAAGGAGCAACTCCAAAATCACCAAATAAATTGAACAGTTTTCATAAGGAAATAGGTCGAAGTGACAGTTACGAAATATTAAATAGCGCGAAAGTAGAGGCCGTTGTGGGTATGGGTTACCCGAAACGTTTAGTTGAACAGGTAGTCTTGGAACACTTTTTTGAAACAAATCAAGACTTTTCGTCGGCTGAAGACTTGTATTTGGCAGTAATGGACACAGAATTTAATGTCTCGGACATTGATGCGATATATGGAACATCTTTTAACGAAAGTACACGCAAAACTTCTTCAGAAACTAATGTTCGCGTTTCACCTGAAATTGAACAAACCTCGGTGAAAGATGAGGTGGAAAACGTTTCTGTTCCTGAAAATTTGATTGATCGTGGTAATACTGAGCAAAGTGTTGCGATGATTAACAACCAAGACAATGACCATAATAGGTCGACATATCAAACATTAGACAGTAATAAACAAGTATCGTGTATAATTTGTGAAGATAATGAAGTACAAATTACTTTTCAACCGTGTGGCCATTTAGGGACGTGTTATTCGTGTTCGACGAAGATTCACGAATGTCCATTCTGTAGAACTCACATAAGAGATCGTATAAAGACATTCCTTGTATTATGAACTGAAAGCAGCGCTCCCATATTTATACCTACATACGATTGTTTAATGTCTGTCACATTAAAATGCGTTCATAATTTATATTTATGCTCATTGAATTTTAATGAATACGTTTATACATGTATTTCAATGACAGTCGTTCCCTGTAGTGTTTTCTTTTATAGTCGTTGTTGTAATTTGATCAGTATCGGTCGGCTTCCACCGTGTTATATACATGTAATATATGAATTTCAAATTGTTTACGACCTGATTATTATACTGTATAACCTGAATCATATTCTAAATATATGGCTTACTGAATTTTTTACTATCAGATTATATCAGGTAGTTGTAAATACAGTTAAAAGGCGACCCCATTTTGCACATGGCAAACCTCATCAAGGCCGTAAAGTATGTGATAACCGCGATATAATAATATGCTTTATGGTAAGCAGGCCGTGAGAGGGGAGGGGGACGCTGGAACACTTGTTCAGGGGCCCGGAGCCTAGAGGGGTCCGGTATGCCGCGTAAAGTTTTTAAAAAAATTGTTGGTGTAAATTCATAAAAAAAATATACTGTTACTTGATCGTATTACAATGTTTTGAGAAGGCTTTGAAGCAAAATTATGACAAATTAATAAGTTTGAATATGTGTTTAGTCCTATTATAATACCATAAATCACCCAGTTTGTACACAGGAATGTATCTTTAAATAGGTACATGTACTATTGGATTGCTATGATAATATTAAACAAAGTCTCGGATACCGTACGTCCAATTAAATGGCATGGGTGCTAAATATTTAAGAAAATATTTTTTATTGACTCATCTTAAACAGGTAAACACAATATCAATATGCATTGCACATCGTTATAACATCACCACAATATTCATAAAATTTAGGTTACCGGTACAATAATTTACATACCTGTAATTAATTAAGAAATAGATAGATATGGTATATCAAGGTTGTGGACCCTCTAGAGACCACAGTTTTTATCCAATTTGGATGAAACTTTAAATATATGTTTTTATCATTAAGATCTTGGTTCCTTTTGATAATTATTAACATTAGTGTAACTTTGCTCTTATTTTTTGAAACAATTTTCACAAGTTGATTTCCTTTATTTTGTTAATGTAGAATGGTAACGAACTGCTCTTTTCATTTTCTTTGTTTTATTTTTTTCGTTTGAATTTGATTTATCTGTTTAGTTTTTGATTGTTTAATTTTTGTTAATGAAGTTGATTCTTTTAAACTTCGTTTTTATTTTTGAACTCTACTTGGTGTAGGTGTTCATCGGGTAATACCTCGACTGAGTTCAATATTGAGATTAGCCGGTTGATTTGTTGGATATAAACCTTTGAATAATAGCGCCTAACAGGCAGCTGTGTTTAATTATGTTCTCCTGATTTTGATTGTTTCTGTGTGTTTGAAGTATATGTTTGTGATATGCGCTTAGAAACACTTCACGTGTAATGAAGCGCTATATAAATCGAATAATAATAATAATAATAATAATAAAGTAGAAGAAAACCGATGACCTTTCTGAATGTGTATACTTAGTGGCGTGTTAGGATTAGAATCGGATTCTGTTAGTCCACTTGTTTTGGAAAATATGTTGAATTTAAAACTATAAACCACGTGTCCGGCCCTTTATACGCCGTGGGGCTCCGGCCCGTCCTCGTTCGGCTTGAGACTCTCAATTGGGGCCTATTCCTGGCTTGTAGAACGATACAAAGATGGTGGGCGCACCGGTGTCGCGATGTCGCGCTCTGTCGCCAGTGATCATGCATGCGATTATCGATCGTTTATGTAGGCTGACTTGTATCCGATCATTAAAAACGAAACTGAAAGAGGAACTTTTACTTTCGTCTTCGTTTCGTTAGGCGCTAAAATATCTATGTTTTCCAATATTTTTGTCAATTACGGATTTTTGCCGACCAATGATTCGAGAAAAGTTTTTTATCTGTTCGATCTGGCAATTTTAAGCATCGAAAATGGCTTGTCACGTATTCACGTATTGTTAATTTTGATGAGGCTATTGATGAGTTCGCTACCAAGTGTGCACGGAAAATTCCGTTTGAAACCAGTTCAAAATGATTTGGGGTATTGAAAAAAATAAACGAAAAGTTTATGTGATGAAATAAATTCCTTTTTAATATTTTGGCGTCTGATGGTTACGGTTTTTGTTCCATTTGTTTGCCTGCTTAAAATTTCCTGTCAAAATCGTGTAAATCTGATTATCATTAAAGCAGTAAAACTTAAACCATAGTTCTAAATCTCAGTTTACCCCAGATATACACCACCCGTGCCCGAAATCCGCCCCGCCCCCTTGCCGAGTTGTTTGTCCCAGGGCCCTAAGCAGTAGCATTGTATGTAATCAGAATTGCATGGCCCCGAAGCTTTTATATTTATGGACAGATTGTGCCGTCGCCCTTGTCCGCCCGTGTTTCCGTTCCAATTTATTTGTGGACACTCTATAGCCAAGTCTCTAACTCACTATCATCCAAAGTCTTCGACCTTGAAAATAAAAAAATTATTTGACAATTAATCAACAGTGATGTTGTGATCTTACCTGGAAAAGATTTGCTTCTGATATCCAATATATAAGACAAAATAAACAATTTACCATTGGTACGAATCGTGTGCCATAATGCGTTTCAGTGCCATTTGTAACAAGGGACTCGAAGAACGAGGCTAGACATATTCCACAAGTCATATCAAAAAGTGACGCCATATTCTTATCCTCACTGATCAGAAGTGAATTTTCGCTAGGCCGCTACAATCACTGATAAGGATGACATCGATGCGACTTAATGAGTCCCAAATATTAACTTTTTTCTTCCGTAAAATTTAATTCTAAAACATTTTTTTCATTTATTAGAAAAATAAATAAAGACTTTTGAATTGTTTGTAGGTAAAAATCATTTCCTATTTAGTGTAAATGTGTATTAAAACAAGTAAAATTCACCATTTAGCCCGAATCAGTAACGCTTTATGTAAACAATGCACGCGCTATTGAGCCAATGATTGACGCCGCGTGATGTGTCGAAGCAGTCATCTGTTACAGAGATATTAGAAGATCTCTGTGAAACAGATTGATTCTTATCTGGAACGCATACGCAATAAGTACTATCGGTTTAGACTGGAATAACCAGACGCTATAGATATAACTGATTAGAAATTAAAGTATAAAAAGAAACGATTGAATCTAAAGCAGTTTGTATACATTCATATTATATTATTATATGGGTTCGATTTTGGCACGTAACTTGCTGGATTATATTGCCCTTTATTGTACGAGGATGCTCTAGGGGCCATAATTTGTGCCCGATTTAGATGAAACTAAGTATTGAATGACTTCGATTTTGGCGCGCATTAGTTCAGCTCTGAACGTAAGTCTCGTTACACTCGCCCTCTACGTTCAGGAACGGGCCTGTATTAGCTCTTTGTCGAAATCTTTGACTCCCCAGTAAATTTTACTGGAGAACTATATACTGCTAAACGTTCGCGTGTCAATCCCTGTGATCGCCTGTAAAATGTAAAGGAGTGTTTTTGTGAGAAAATATTATGACCTTGCTTACGTCACTAGAGTCAGTATGTGCGACATAACTTACTGTTTAACCTATTTTCTCAATGTAATCCCAGATAAGCTGAGAGGTCCAATACCTATCATCTGGGGGTGGGAAATGGATAGAATTGAAACAAAGTGTTTTACCTCTCCCTATCAATATGTCTCTCATTGATTGACGTTCGTTTTTTAACTGATTGCAACCGATTAGTAGGTGTGAAGGAAGGGCTTGCAATTTGTCCACACAGTCATTTGATTGGTGTATAGGTGTAGTCTTTGACTACGTCTATTGTTTTGAGACTTGTGGTGAGCTTGCATACTTTGATTGAGGAATGATGGATGTAGGCTACACCTTGTCTACAAGATGGCTATCTATTTGATAGCGATGGATGTTTTCTTGTTTTATACGGGATTTCCATGCAATTTTGATCATCTCTTTTGTTATGCTTGCAAATTCCTGAGTGTTGTATTCTAAATTGCCCAGTTTATTTAGTGACAACCCCTCCATCGCTAGTTTGTCGACTTGCTCGTTGCCGAAAATATTGACGTGGGAAGGGATCCATGCAAGGATCACCTCCCTCCCACTGATTTTAATCTTTTGATTTAGGTCCCTAACTTCGTGGATTATATTCTGCCTGCTTTTGGAGGGGTTTGATTCCATAGATTTGATGCTCCCCACGGAGTCAGACAGGATTGCGACTTTTTGGTGTGTTTGCATAGCTAGCCATTCCAGTGCGTTTTTAATGACCATCAATTCTGCGGTGTACACAGACCAATCTTCTGGTAGCCTTTTCCTGATGTTCAGCCTTGCTTTGGGTATGTATATGCCATATCCTGTTACTCCCTTTGCAGAATCGTATGATCCAAATGTGTAAATTTTGAGATTGTCAGTCCATCTATTAATTCCATCGCTAGTGCTCTAGCCTCTAGTCTCGGTGGGGTTTGTAACGTCACGTAGGTACGTGTTGGTGATTGGACCATTTAATTGCCAAGGTGGTGTTTCGGGAAAGCTTTTTGACTCAATACTCATTCCTTTCAGATTGTACTTATTTAAGATAACATTTGAAATTGTTTGAGGCAGTTGTATGTCGGGCATTTTTCTTTTAGCAATTGCAGCTTGCCCCAATACTTGAGTGAGAGTTCCTCGCGACTGAGATCAAGCGGAAGCTCCCCCATTTCGTGTAAGAGGACAACTGTTTTTGTCCCTATAGCTGCTCTAGTTGCTAGTATTATGGCTCCGCTTTGTATTTTGTATAGCCTTGTTAGTTGACTAGCACCTGTGATGGCATTCGCCAGACATCCGTAGTCATAACCGAGCGGGTGATCTGTATATTAGCATTAGAGTGCACCTGTCAGCTCCCCACTGAGTGCCTCTGATGTACTTCATCATGTTGAGGGTTTTCGATGTGGGACTTACTATGCCGTTGATATGAGGCTTACAAGTTAGTCTTGAGTCGAACATCATGCCAAGGAAGTTGGCCTCTGCTTTGAATTCAACTTTGTGACATTCAGATTTAAATCAATTTTCCTATTACTATCAGTCGGATGAAACAGTATTGCTACAAGTCATTTGTCCACTTGGAAACTTGTTTTAGAGTATATTGCAGTGGGGTTTTTTTATTTTACCTATGTCCTATGATGCTTTCCAGAACGAGCGGTCGTCTGCGAACAGCGCTGTTCCATTTCCCACATAGAATGGAAGGTCATTTATCATGAGACGTTAAAAAGTATTGGACTGATAACGGACCCTTGCGGCGTTCCATTTTCCATTTTGAACTTTTCACTCATGCAATTTCCTACTCGTACCTTAATATGCCTATTGTTTAGAAAATCGTCTGTCCACCTATACCTTTGACCTTTGATTTTTG